GTTGCTAATCAGGGAAGGGAAGGGATGCAGAGACCAGAGAGGAGCAGTGAAGAAACAATAGTGCAGCCTTGGGACAGGATCCAGGTTTTGCCTCAAGGGATACACATATAACTGTTTTTGAGCTCTTCTGCAAAACTAATGACATATGTGTGTGCTCAGTTGTGTCCAACTCTTTTCAACCGCATGGTCTGTAGCCTGTGAGGCTCCTCTGTCCATGGGATGTTCCAGGCAAGAATACTGGAGTGGGTTGCCATTTCCTACTCCAGGGGATCTTCCCCATCCAGGGATCGAACCTGCATTTCCTGTGTCTCTTGCATTGGCAGGCAGATTCTTTACCACTGCTCCACCTGTGGAAGATGTTAACTACTAGATGAAGCATTTTCATTCCAGAGATGTCAGTTTGATAACCTCCAAAATCACAGAAGCTCAACAGGAGAATACCTAAGCCAGATTAGAGGAATGCAGGCCCTGCACACACCCTGAACCTTTTCAACAACCCACCCTTGAACCATTGCATAAAGTTCAGTTTAGTTCAGTCCCTCAGTGCTGTCTGACTCTTTGTGACCCTGTGGACTGCAGCACACCAGGCTTCCCTGTCCATCACCAACTGCAGGAGCTTGCTTAAACTCATATCCATTGACTCAATGATGACATCCAACCATCTTAACCTTTGTCGTCCCCTTCTCCTCCTGCCTTCAACTTTCCCAGCATCAGGGTCTTTACCAATGAGTCAGTTTTTCGCATCAGGTGGCCAAAGTACTGCAGTTTCAGCTTTAGCATCAGTCCTTCCAATGAATATTCAGGATTGATTTCCTTTAGGATGGACTGGTTTGATCTCCTTGCAGTCCAAGGGACTCTCAAGAGTCTTGTCCAACACCACAGTGCATCAATTCTTCAACACTCAGCTTTCTTTATGGTCCAACTTTCACATCCATACATGACTACTGAAAAAACCATAGCTTTGACTAGATGGACCTTTGTTGGCAAAGTAATGTCTCTGCTTTTTAATATGCTGTCTAGGTTGGTCATAGCTTTTCTTCCAAGGAGCATCTTTTAATTTCATGGCTGCAGTCACCATCTGCAGCGATTTTGGAGCCCAAGAAAATAAAGTCTCTCACTGTTTCCATTGTTTCCCCATCTATTTGCCATGATCTAAGTTTTTTGAATGTTGAGTTTCAAGCCAGCTTTTTCACTCTTCTCTTTCACTTTCATCAAGAGGCTCTTCAGTTCCTCTTCGTGTTCTGTCATAAGGGTAGTGTCATCTGCATACCCGAGGTTATTGATATTTCTCCTGGCAATCTTAATTCCAGCTTGTGCTTCATCCAGCCCGGCATTTCACATATATAGTCTGCATATAAGTTAAATAAACAGGGTGACAATATACAGCCTTGACGTCCTCCTATCCCAATTTGGAACTAGTCTGTTTTTCCATGTCTGGTTCTAACTGTTGCTTCTTGACCTGCATACAGATTTCTCAGGAGGCAGGTCAGATGGCCTGGTATTCCCATGTCTTTAAGAATTTTCCATAGTTTGTTGTGATCCAACAAACTATTTATAGTCAATAAAGCAGAAGTAGATGTTTTTCTGGAACTCTCTTGTTTTTTTGACGATCCAATGGATGTTGGCAATTTGATCTCTGGTTCCTCTGCCTTTTCTAAATCCAGCTTGAATGTCTGGAAGTTCTTGGTTCATGTACTGTTGAAGCCTGGCTTGGAGAATTTTGAGCATTACTTTGCTAGTGTGTGAGATGAGTGCCATCGTGCAGTAGTTTGAACATTCTTTGGCATTGCCTTTCTTTGGGATTGAAATGAAAACTGATCTTTTCCAGTCCTGTGGCCACTGCTGAGCACATGGCACTCAAATTTACTGGCATACTGAGTGCAGCACTTTCACAGCATCACCTTTTACGATTTGAAATAGCCCCACTGGAATGCCATCACCTCCACTAGCTTTGTTTGTATTGATGCTTCCTAGGGCCACTGGACTTCACACTCCACGATGTCTGGTTCTAGGTGAGTGATCACACCATCGTGGTTATCAGGGTCATTAAGATCTTTTTTGTATAGTTCTTCTGTGTCTTGCCATCTCTTCTTAATATCTTCTGCTTCTGTTAGATTCATACTGCTTCTGTACTTTATTGTGCCCATCTTTGCATGAAATATTCCCTTGGTATCTCTAATTTTCTTGAAGAGATCTCTAGTCTCTCCCATTCTATTGTTTTTCTCTGTTTCTTTGCATTGATCACTAAGGAAGGCTTTCTTATGTCTCCTTGTTATTCTTTGGAACACTGCATTCAAATGGTTATATCTTTCCTTTTTCTCCTTTGCCTTTAGCTTCTCTTCTTTCTTTTCTCAACTATTTGTAACACCTCCTCAAACAACCATTTTGCCTTTTTGCATTTCTTTTTCTTGGAGTGGTCTTGATCATTACCTCCTGCACAATGTCACAAATATCCATACATAGTTCTCCAGGCACTGTGTCTATCAGATCTAATCCCCTGAATCTATTTGTCATTTTTCACTGTATAGTCATAAGGGATTTGATTTAGGTCATACCTGAATGGTTTGACCTAGTGGTTTTCCCTACTTTCTTGAATTTAAGTCTGAATTTGGCAATAAGGAGTTCAAGATATGAGCCACTGTCAGCTCCTGGTGTTGTTTTTGTTGATTGTATAGAGCTTCTCCATCTTCAGCCGCAAAGAATACAATCAATCTGATTTTGGTACTGACCATCTGGTGATGTCCATGTGTAGAGTCATCTCCTGTGTTGTTGGAAGAGGGTGTTTGCTATGACCAGTGTATTCCCTTAGCAAACTCAGTTAGCTTTTGCCCTGCTTCATTTATACCATTGCATAAAACTCCTCACCATTTCCCCCTGTGTTGGGACACACAGGTTTTGTTTTTGCCATGTAAATATATGTATTCCAAAAATAAATAAAATTCACATTTTAAAGACTTAGTCCTCTCTAACATCAACTCTTTATCATGTCAACATTAGCTGAATAAAATACCACAAAATAAACACCAAAGTTTTCTCCAAAAAATCATATTTACCCAATGTTTTACAATATATGGAAATGCTTATTCTACAGTAAGTTTTCAAGCACTGAATTTGATCTGATATTGTATGTAAGAAATATGCAGGACTTCCCTCATGGTGCAGTGGATAAGATCAACCTGCCAATGCCGGGGACAAGGGTCAAACCCTGGTTGGGGAAGATACCACATTCCTCGGAGCCCACAGGTGGTAACTACTAGAGCCCATGGTGTGCAACAAGAGAAGCCACCACAATGAGAAGCTCACGAACCTCAACTAGACAGTGGACCCTACTATTGCAACTAGAGAAAGCCTACTTATCACGAAGACCCAACACAACCAAAAATAAGTGTCAACTACAGATTGGCTGATCTTCCCTGTAGCACAGATGATAAAGAATCTGCCTGCAATGCAGGAGACCCAGGTTTGATCCCTGGGTCAGAAAGATCCTCTGGATAAGGGAATGGCAATCCACTCCAGTATTCTTGCCTGGAGAATCCCATGGACAGAGGAGCCTGGCGGGCCACAGTCCATGGGGTCGCAAAGAGTCGGACACAACTGAGTGACTAACAGGACTACTACTACAAATTGGCACTTGCCAAGAGCATTTGCTAGTGACTAAACAACAACAAGGGCATTTGCCATCTACCTGTAGTGCTGCAGCTGCGAACCTTCAATACTCCCTAAAGGGAATTCAGGGTAGAAAGTGAGGCACTCTGTGCTCCAGGGAAACTGATGGAACAGGTCTTTAGATAGTTAGGAACTTATTTCATGATCCCAATTCTTACATCTCTTCATATCTAGAAAAGTATTAAATCCCTTCACAGTGACTAGCAGAAAACCTTTTGTAAAATAAGGACTTGATTACGTTAACTTTACCTTCACCAAAATTTTATACACTGATCTTCCTCTACTGCCTATTTGAATCAGTCTCAGAGACATCTGAGGTGCTGTATGCTACACTGCAGTCCTCATTTTAGCCCCAAATAATACTTAATGCACAGCTCTCACGTTGTGCGTCTTTTTAGTGGACATAAGCAAATAAACTTGTTTTTTTTTCAGTAACATTCCTGGGGACTTCCCTGGTGGTCCAGTGGTTGAGAGCTTGCCTTGCAATGCAGGGGATGTGGGTTTGAGCCCTGGTCAATGAACTAAGATTCCACAAGACTGGGAGCAACTAAGCCCTGCACTCTGAAGCCACTCGGTGCCACAACTAAGACCTCAGATAGCCAAAATTTTAAAAGTAACATCTCCTCCTCTCTCTAGGAGGACGGAGCTAGAGTGCCTATCAAATACAGGACCTGACACACAGAAGACCCCCAAAAAATGCAGCAAGAGATTTGAAGGCAGTTGCTTCGGATTCCCCTCTAGAAGCTTGCCCGGCCAGCCCCTCAGGATGGGCCCTCACCTCTGCGCGCCCACACCTGTGTTAACGGCTGGGGCCCGCCCCGCCCCCTGCTCCCACTGCCCGCCGCCCCCGGGGCCTCCCCACTTCCTCCTCCCACCTGAAACAATCCTCCTGGACATAAGCTTCACCCTCCCGAGGACGCCAATCCCTCCCGGAGGGGCGGTTCCTTCAGGTTTCACAGTTCAGACCAGTCCTGACATTTTTGGAACACTGGGCCCCTCAAGTGCAGGGGAATAGAGCGTGTCGATCCCGCGGTGCTGCAACTGGAGCTGGGTTGCTGGCCCTTCACTCGACGCATCGTTCTGGAGGAGGTGGGAAGGGGAAAAGGGAGGAGGAATAGGAAACAGGGGTCGGGGGAAGGGAGAGGGAAGGCAGAGGGAAAGGGAGGAAAACGAGTTGGGCAGTTTTAAGACGCCAAGCTACGGCCGAATGTCGAAGCTGGCGCGCTCAGTGGCGGGACCTGCGCGCAGCCCCCGCACCCAGAGGCCTCTAGGATAAAGGAGTCCTGCCCCGGAATGGGCCCTGAGGTGTCCGAAAAGGCTTGCCCGAGTCTTAGCTATGCGCTCTGATCTCAAGTATGCTTACTTCAGCGTCCTGAGCTGTTGTCTGCTGGTGGCCTCCAAGAAGCCTGAGGAGACAGTCCTGAGGCCCCCGGCTTGGCCTCGCCTCGAGCGGGCCACGCCCCGTCCCGAGCAGGCCCCGCCCATGAGCAGGCCCCGCCCATGAGCAGGCCCTCTCCAGAAATCTCACCCTTTCATTCATTCACTCTTAGAGTACTGAGCTTCAACTAAGTACTAAGCGCCTGAAGGTGAAAGTCGTTCAGTCGTGTCCGACTCTCTGCGACCCTATGGGCTGTAGTCCATGGAATTCTCCAGGCCAGAGTACTGGAGTGGGTAGCCTTTCCCTTCTCCAGGGGATCTTCCAAACCCAGGGATCGAACCTAGGTCTCCCGCATTGCGGACAGATTTTTTTTACCAGCTGAGCCACAGGGAAGCCCAAGCTAAGCGCCTGATGCTGAGGTTAAAAGAGTGAACTGGGTAGACAAGTTCCCTGCCCTCAGATAATTAAGATGCAAGTTATAGTCTAGTGTGGAAAGTGCCTGTGGAGGAGAGGATAAGGGCACCCGTCCTAGCTTGGGGGCGTCAAGGAAGGCGTCCCAGAGGAACACCTTTCACTATAGCAGGAAGAAAGGAGATTGGAGCAACGATTTGGGATGATGCAAAGTTCTCATAGGATAGCTCCTGGTTTCTCTGAAAAGTAGAGCTCTGCCATATATATTAGGGGCCGGGAAAGAAAGAAGTGGAGAAAAGCAAAGAAGGTTTGAACTGATTTTGAGTAGAGTGGGAGAATTTACTAAGAAATAAATTACATAAGCACCATGGTCAAGAAGCTCTGCCTCCTGTTGTCTGTGTGTGCCGCATGATGGGAATTTGTGGGGATTTAGTTCCCCAGTCAGGGATCAATCCACCTCGGAGTCCTAATCACTGGACTGCCAGGGAAGCTTTGCCTGTTTTGATCACCCATGTATCCCAAATACTTAGAACAGTGCCTAGCACATAGCAGGCCCTTAATAAATGGAATGCATGAATAAATGCATTTCAAGTAATGATGGATTTGACCATTAGTCATAGACCATGAATTTATGGTGGCACCAACTTACCTATATGTGTGATTCTACCCAATAATGCTGAGCTCTGCCTTCCTAGAGAGCAGCTCTGGCATTGAGTTGGGATTTTCCCAGATTGAATTCATGAATGTTGATTAGGTAATGAACCATGAAGTCTGTCCTGGAGAGGGAAGAAATAAAGGCAAGAGGTTGTTTATGGACAGGGAGAAAGTGGAAAGATCAATGGACTAGATATCCTGAGAAGATTGAAGAGTTGGTATTCTAGGATAAATCTGTAGGTTGAAGTTAGAGAGTGATGTAAGACTATATTATTTCAGAAAGTAGAGTGTTTCCTGGTGATGATGCTTCAGATATGGCCATAGTTGGATAGGAGCACAGGTAAAGGACTCTGAGATGAAAATGTCTAGGAACTGAGTCTAGGTCATTGAATAGGGCTATCCACACTGATGTTTGGGTCTCCCATAGATTTCCCTCCTTCAAGATCTCTGCTCAAAAAAAAAAAAAAAAAAAAAAGATCTCTGCTCTATGCCCCATCCAACCCTTTCTCCAACCTCAGAGGATCTGCATTGCATTCATGTTTCAATTTAAGCCTCAGATCTCAAAAGATCTGGCATGGCTCTGGGCCAGAAAACAGAATGGGGTAGTTAAAGAGAGCTGTAGTGGACATCTCTTTTATGCCATCTATTTTTGGTGCCAGCAGGCATGAACCTTTCCAAAAACAGTATGTCTGTGTCTCCTGCAGGAGTGACTATACCCCTACTTCTTTGGTCTCAGTCCACGTGCAGGTGGAGTGTTCCTCCCTCCACACCTTACTCCAAGAGTGAGGGGTTCAGACCTGTCAGCTGAAGCATTGTTTCCCTGTGTGCAGTTCAGTGAGTAGTTCAATGATGGATACATGACCAACTGGAATCCATAAGCACAATATTGTCACAGCAACACCACATTTTCAGCTTCACTTGAACTTGCTGCCACACAACACCTGAAAATAGTCAGCACATAAGACAGAGAGTCAAGAAATGGAAATGGGGGAATTCTCTGGTGGTCCAGTGGTTAGGACTCCGAGCTTCTACTACAGGGGACATGGGTTCAATCCCTAATCAGGGAACTAAGATCCTGCAAGCCATGCAATGCAGCCAAAAAAAGAAAAAGAGAGGAAAGAAATGAAAATTGAATCCTGATGTCATCAAATTGAATCCCTGCATCAATCCTATTACCTGAAGCCACCCCTACCCCTGGATTGTTCAGATATGAATCTTACATTCCCATTTATTTACACTGATTGGATTTTAATTTCTGTCACATATACCCAAATGATTCCTCACAATTCAAGGGGATTCTCAACCTCTAACTCTGCCTTCTGGAATATCTGTATACTATGGGTACACAGAAATATAGATATAATAATAATATATAAATGTTAACTTCTTTGTGTCACAGATTCTCCTATGTTGAAAGAATATAACAATGCCTATTTTACAGGGTTGTAAAGATTAAATGAGATAGTTATGTTAGGGTATAAATTTATCCCACAACTGAGGCACAAGCAACATTACATTTACTTAATTTTTCTAAATTAAACTAAATCTGGCTCAAAACTCTTATTTATCAGGCTTGTAAGATACCTAATATTAATCATGATTGGTGTGGGAGCAGGGTTTTTCCCCTCTTTAGTGTGGTATATACATTGACCAAACAAAACAAAAAACATTTAGGAAAGAACCTGGGGTCTTGAGTCTGTCATGGTTGCCACTGGGATGTGTGTTGTCTAAACTCATATAGTCCACACAAAGGCAAGTGATTCCACGGCATCTCTGCCAAGTGTGCACATCAACATCTTTCGCTACAGTTCCCCAGGCTATGTACTAGATATTTAGTGCCCTACCCATTAAATCAGCGCTCCCTGTGAGAAGTCCTGCTACCTCTTAACTGACTTTTTAAATATTTTATTTATTTATTTATAGTTGGTTGTGCTGGGTCCTCCTTGCCGTCCTCAGGCTTTTTCTAGTTGCAGAGAGCGGGAGCTTCTCTCTGGCTTCGCTGCACAGGCAGCTTCTCCTGTTGCAGGGCACAGGCTCTAGGCACGGGGGCTTCAGCGGTTACAGCACTGAGGCTTCAGTAGTTGCAGCTCCCGGGCTCTAAAGTGCAGGCTCAGTAATTGGGGCACATGGGCTTAGTTGTTCCACAGCATGTGGAATCTTCCTGGCATGCCTGCTCAGTCACTCAGTCAGGTCCAACTGTTTGTGACACCATGGACTATGCCCGTGAAGCTTCTCTGTCCATTGGATTCTATAAGCAAGAGTGCTGGAGTGGGTTGCCATTTCCTTTTCCAAGGGATCTTCCTGACCCAGGGATCAAACTCGAGTCTCCTGCATTGGCAGGTGGATTCTTTACCACTCTACCACCAGGGAAATCCAACCTCCTAATGGACTTCTGTCACTCATGGAGCCTATTGCAACATCTCTTTTCTCTAGGCCCTGAATACTTGGCTATCCTTGGGCAACTCCTCTTCTTTCAACCCAGCACTTCCTCCATCTTCTTCTTAAGAGCACCTTAAATTTTCATCCCACACAACAGCCTGGATAATGTTGTAAAACAGGTGTATTGCAATTTGGGACTAGAAAATTCAAAACCCATTAACTATTCATAAGATAAGAAACCTATAATTCTTAGAAGAGAGGAGAGCAAAGTTACCTTTTCTTCCTATTGAGTATCTCTTTTGACAATGAGTAGTCAGACTTTATTATTTTGGGGCTCCAAAATCACTGCAGATGGTGATTGCAGCCATGAAATTAAAAGACACTTACTCCTTGGAAGGAAAGTATGACCAACCTAGACAGCATATTAAAAAGCAGAGACATTAATTTGCCAACAAAGGTCCATCTAGTCAAGGCTGTGGTTTTTCCAGTGGTCAAGTATGGACGTGAGAGTTGGTCTGTGAAGAAAGCTGAGGGCCGAAAAATTGATGCTTTTGAACTGTGGTGTTGGAGAAGACTCTTGAGAGTCCCTTGGACTGCAGGGAGATCCAACCATTCCATCCTGAAGGAGATAGGTCCTGGGTGTTCATTGGAGGGACTGATGCTGAAGCTGAAACTCCAATACTTTGGCCACCTCATGCGAAAGTTGACTAGTTGGAAAAGACCCTGATGCTGGGAGGGATTGAAGGCAGGAGGAGAAGGGGGTGACAGAGGATGAGATGGCTGGATGGCATCACCAACTCAATGGACATGAGTTTGAGTAAACTCCGGGAGTTGGTGATGGACAGGGAGGCCTGGCGTGCTGCGATTCATGGGGCCGCAAAGAGTCAGACATGACTGAGTGACTGAACTGAACTGAACTGAACTGAGCACACAGCATTTGGGAAATTATTCTGCCGTAAATGTAAATAAGCTGGCACAGAATAAGTATTCAGTATTGTCTTCTCTATTTCCTAACAGAACTCAACTTACTTTATTCATCCAGAGATAGCAAACTCAAATACCACGCAGATAATACAAATGACTAAAAATAGACAAGTGTAAGAAACAAAATCATAGCACAATATAAACAGAAACTAGTCTTTAGCCTTGGCTTTAACAAGGAGAACATGGTGAACTAGAAAGCACAGGGCCACTAAAGGACCTTCTACTTAGCTTTAAATGGTGTTAACTTGGTGGGAATGAGGGGCCTGTGTTGCTAGATTTTAGCCGAAAGTATTATTGTGTACAATCTACTAATCTTGCAATGTTGGCTACTCATTCAAGTCGGCTTCCCAGATGGCATAGTGGTAAAAAAATCTGCCTGTCAATGCAGGAGTTGCAAGAGATGTGGGTTTGTCTCTAAGTGGGCGGGGGGCGGGTAACATGTATACCTATGGTTGATTCATGTTGAGGTTTGACAGAAAACAGCGAAATTCTATAAAGCAATTATCCTTCAATAAAAAATAGATAAATTTTAAAAAGAGAAATGTGGGTTTGGTCTCTGGGTTGGGAAGACCCCTGGAGAAGGGAATGGCTACCCACTCCAGTATTCTTGTCTGGAGAATTCCATGGACAGAGGAACTTGGCAGCCTACAGTTCACTGCAGATGGTGACTGCAGCCATGAAATTAAAAGACGCTTACTCCTTGGAAGGAAAGTTACGACCAACCTAGATAGCATATTAAAAAGCAGAGACATTACTTTGCCAACAAAGGTCCATCTGCTCAAGGCTATGGTTTTTCCAGTGGTCATGTATGGATATGAAAGTTGGACTGTGAAGAAAGCTGAGCACTGAAAAATTGATGCTTTTGAACTGTGGTGTTGGAGAAGACTCTTGAGAATCCCTTGGACTGCACGGAGATCCAACCAGTCCATCCTAAAGGAGATCAGTCCTGGGTGTTCATTGGAAGGATTGATGCTGAAGCTGAAACTCCAGTACTTTGGCCACCTCATGTGAAGAGTTGACTCACTGGAAAAGACCCTGATGCTGGGAGGGATTGGGGGCAGGAGGAGAAGGGGACAACAGAGGATGAGATGGCTGGATGGCATCACTGACTCGATGGGCATGAGTTTGAGTAAACTCCGGGAGTTTGTGATGGACAGGGAGGCCTGGCGTGCTGCGATTCATGGGGTCACAAAGAGTCGGACACGACTGAGCAACTGTGCACATATGCAAAAGTTACCAAAAAAAAACAACAAGAAGAAACAAACTACTGGCCACGTTGTCTGGGCCAAGTCTTATTATTAGTAATTATCTTTAAGCCTTTTTATGATTTTTGCTGCTACATATATACTGCTAGCTGTCAAATTTATATACTCTATAGACTGCTTTACCTGCCACCTTACCTGCATCCTGAGAAATCTGTATGCAGGTCAAGAGACAACAGTTAGAATGAGATATGGAACAACAGACTGGTTCCTATTGGGATAGGAGGACGTCAAGCCTGTATATTGTCACCCTGTTTATTTAACTTATATGCAGAGTACATCATGCTAAAAGGAGGGCTGGAAGAAGCACAAGCTGAAATCAAGATTGCCAGGAGAAATATCAATAACCTCAGATATGAAGATAACACCACCCTTATGGCAGAAAGCAAAGAGGAACTAAAGAGTTTCCTGATGAAGGTGAAAAAGGAGAGTGAAAAAGCTGGCTTAAAACTCACATTCAGGAAACTAAGATCATGGCATCTGGTCCCATCACTTTATGGCAAATAGATGGGGAAACAATGGAAACAGTGAGAGACTTTACTTTGATTTTGGAGAGGCTCCAAAATCACTGCAGATGGTGACTGCAGCCATGAAATTAAAAGATGCTTGCTCCTTGGAAGAAAAGCTGTGACCAACCTAGACAGCATATTAGAAAGCAGAGACATTACTTTGCTGACAAAGTTCCATCTAGTCAAAGCTATGCTTTTTTCAGTAGTATGTATGGATGTGAGAGCTGGACCATAAGGAAAGCTGAGTGCTGAAGAATTGATGCTTTTGAAATATGGTGTTGGAGAAGACTCCTGAGAGTCCCTTGAACTGCAAGATCAAACCAGTCAATCCTAAAGGAAATCAGTCCTGAATATACATTGGAAGGACTGACACCGAAGCTCCAATACTTTGGCCACCTGATGCGAAGAACTGACTCATTGGAAAAGGCCCTGATGCTGGGAAAGAGTGAAGGCAGGAGGAGAAGGGGACAACAGAGGATGAGATGGTTAGATGGCATCACCGAGTCAATGGACATGAGTTTGAGCAAACTCCAAGAGTTGGTGATGGACAGGGAAGCCTGGCCTGCTGCACTCCATGGGGTCACAAAGAGCTGGACACAACTGAACAATGGAAGTGGAATTGAATAGACTGCTTTCCCAAGCTTCATTGCATGTATCTCACTGCCTCCTGCCTAACAAACATATCCTTGTCACAAGACTCTCAAATGCAAATGTCTAAAATGGAACACATTGCCCCATCATCCTAAATTGGTCTCCAGGTTTGTGTTACTTATCTCAGTAAAATGGCCCAAACATAAACACCCAGTCCCCCCAAGTCAGAAACCCTGGAGTCATTCTCAACTCCTGTCAGGGAAATTAAATGAATAGTCTTGTTTAGGCTTCAGAGAAAAAGCAGAGCAAGCCTCTGACCTTGCTTCTAACCTGCCTGGACACTGCCCTGACTGTGAGTGACTGTGAGTGAGGACCTGCTGTGAGTGCAAGCCTTGTAGCACCATAGATAAGATGAGGGAGGAATCTTGAGATTGATGAGACCCTGGAGAGAATCTGGCCAACCAAGCCCCAGGCTCAACTACATTCCAAGTTTTACACAACAAAACAAACAGCATTAATATGAAACCAGAACTGCGATTTGGTCACAGGTTGTCCTGGGATTATAAGCGGGAACTGCAATCTTTGAAGTCTCACCCACTGAGTGGAAGAGCTGCCTGGGACCCTTTCCCAACTGGAACTCCAGATATACTGTGACATGGGCGTTCCCAATGCTGATTAAGTCTGGATGATGGTCAAAACCCAATTTGGCAATGTATTCTCTGCTCTATTTCTCTTTCCTTTTAATGTTAGTATGTTGAAAGTAAGCTAGATAATTCCCTAATAAATATCTGTATTATTTATTTGTATATAACAAGTGATTTGTTTTGTTAACAAATCCTTTGAACCTGAGACAAAAGTAAAAACTTTCAGCAAAACAACTCCTCACTCCATTCCATCCCATTGGTAACCAAGTCTAATCAATTATAACTTTGGAATTCTACTTGACTATTATTCTCCACTCCCACCATCACTGCCTTGGTTCAAGCCTCATCTTTTGCCCAAACTAAAGCAAAGTTTCCCTAGCCAATCTCTTGTTCTCAATCTCTGCCCTCACTATAGCCAGAGTATTCTTTCCAAGACACAAACTTGATCTTGCCTCTTCCCTGCTCAAAACTTCTCAATTATTTCCCATCACCTTCAGGATGAAGTTCCAACTTCTTAGTCTGGTATTCAGGGCCCTTTGTGATCTCGTCTACCCTACTGCTTCCCTTAGTTAGTTCAGTTGCTCAGTCGTGTCCGACTCTTTGTGACTGCATGGACTACAGCCTACCAGGCTCTTCCATCCATGGGATTTTCCAGCCAACTGTACTGGAGAGGGTTGCCATTGCCTTCTCCAATGCTTTCTCAGCTCCACCATTTTTACACAGGCTATTCCCACTGCTTGGATTGTCCTCTTGCTTCCTACCCTCTCATTTTCTTGACTCTTTAAGCACTGATCTCTTCTGGGAAGCACCCTCTGACAAGCCATCCCCTTTCCCAAGCTGGCTAGATGTCCTCCACCCCCTTAGTACCCTGTGCATATCTCTATTTAACTTCTACTATTTGACTATTTCCCTCACTGAAATGGGAACTACGTTAGCACGGAGACCCTATCATTTGCCTCCTCAAGACTGAGCATAATACCTGATCCACAGGAAGCACTTAATAAATATATTTGGATTGAGTGAATGAATAAATGTAGGCCAAATCATGGTACCAGTGGAGAACGCCTTCTTGCCCAAGATCACACGGACAAACAGTGATAGAGCTAGAAAATCCGTCTCCTAAACCTCAACTCACGGTCTTTCTACCAGACTAAGCTGGCAGCTGATGGGGTAGGGTGAGAAGAGAGGCTCTGAATTGTACTGCAAATGCAGATATTGAAGTTTGATCCAAAAAAGAGGAGTTGAAATGGGACAGAGTGGTGGTTTTAGGAGAAAGAGGAACAAATGAAAGAAAAAAAAAAAAAATCAAGCACATTTGATTTACTGTCATCCTTAACATGAATGCTTGCAAAAAAGATCTCAGGCAACCTAAAGACATGAGATATAAAAGAGGAAACAGACTCCACCTATTAAAGATGGAATGAGGCTTATATTAATAATTAGGAACTTTAAAAGTGATGAAAAGAACTTCTCTGATTGTCCAGTAGTTAAGAATCTACTTGCCAATGTAGGGGACACAGCTTTGATGCCTGGTCTGGGAAAATTCCACATGCTGCAGGGCAACTAAGCCCGTGTGCCATAGCTACTGACGCCCGTGCACCCTAAAGCCTTTGCTCCACAACAAGAAAAGCCACGGCAATGAGAAGCCCACTTGCCGCAACTAGAAAAAGCCTGCGCACAGCCAAAAATAAATTTTAAAAAATTTTTTTTAAATAAAAGTGATGGAAAAAATTTTCACATATTGAGGTATGGGGGTCATCCTGGCTTATAAATGATTTGACTTGAACTTTATACCAGCTACAAGCCTGTCTTGTAGTCTATCAAACACACACTGTACATCTGATTTAACCACTGAAGAAAAGGGTGCATTGTCCAGAAGTAAAGAATATCTGTTTTGAAGTTAGAGATAAATGCCTTCCTTCGTGGGAGGCCAATGGCCAGTACTCCTTTGACAATAAGGCTCACTTCCCAGGTACCAAGGCCATACTGACTTGCTATGTACCAGCTAATCTGTCTTTTTTGAAACATGGAAGAAATGTACCCCTGTTATGTTTGATGTCCTTTATTCTGTCAAGATGTAAAGCTGTGCTGGAAACCAGGATTCTTGAGAGTAGTTCCTCAGAGCTATGAGAGGCTGTCTCCTCAGTTACAGTCTTCAGCTTGACTCAAATAAAACTGTTCTCTATTCTAATCTTACTTTAGGTTGGTTGTTGATCATTTATGGCAACAAAAGAAAATTTTAACACAGCATATACTATGTACCACTCTCAGCATATAAATGTTTTCATTTAATCTTCAAAACAACTCTATGTGCTAAGTAATAATATTATCCCCATTTTACAGATGAGAGAATTGAGGCACTGAAAGTTTGAGTCTTTTGAGACTTCACAGGTAAGAAGTGGCAGAGCTAGGATTTGAATAAGGCAGCTTGATGCTGGAATCCATGTCCTCAACCACAATGCCTGAAGGTAATTCTGATCTTAGGAATCAAGACAAAAGGGGATCACTCAGGTTTCACTGAATGAAGTATGAGTTGTCTGGTAGGGGCAATTTTTTGGCCCTAAACTCAGACAGACTGCTGTTAGGTATGTGGGGGGATGGGAGTTCTTTGTTCTGTGATGCAGTGATGACCTCAGGGTAAACTGCCACTAGGCTGAGGAAAATGGAATGGCTGCCAGAGGACCTGCGTGGCTCTGAGGGGGTCCTGGGGCTTCTCTGGAACCAGCTGACCTATGCCCTAGCCTGCCGACACTGTGGCAGCAGCTGCCTCCAGAGTCCAGGGAATCTGATAACACTGTTTTTGTTCATGGTTTGGCAGATCCAGAGGTGGTGGCAGCTTGGGAGATGGCGGCAGCTTCAGCCCTGGTACTCTGGGGACAAGATGAGAGGCAAGGTGAGTGGCCCAGCAGTGCAGCCGGGTTAAACGACTCACCACATGTGAGTTCGGGGGGGGGTCACTGACATCAATGTGGGCCCCAAGAGGCGACCACACAAGCTTTCAGGCTGAGGTCGGGCGTGCTTTGCCATTAACACGACATTTGAAGCCAGGTAAATGCTCACCGGCCCTAGATGGGCCCAAAGAGGCGACCACACAAGCTTTCAGGCTGAGGTCGGGCGCGCTTTGCATTAACACGACATTTGAAGCCAGGTAAATGCTCACTGACCCTAGATGGGCCCAAAGAGGCGACCACACAAGCTTTCAGGCTGAGGTCGGGCGCGCTTTGCATTAACACGACATTTGAAGCCAGGTAAATGCTCACTGACCCTAGATGGGCCCAAAGAGGCGACCACACAAGCTTTCAGGCTGAGGTCGGGCGCGCTTTGCCATTAACACGACATTTGAAGCCAGGTAAATGCTCACCGACCCTAGATGTTGAGTTATGTAAGGGAATGCTGGTCTCCAAATGTGGCTGGGTAATGGCCATTAACAGCAGATGGGTAAGGGACTTTTGTCCCCAGACAAGGTCCCCAGTGAGTGACTGTCCACTCTGGGTGCAGACCACAGACTGAGGGCTTCATGATACTCTCTGTGTCTCTGGAAAGGCTTCACGCCTGACTGTATCTTCCTCCCCTCCCCAGGGCCTACCACTTCTGTACCGTGTGGCTTTCCTTGATCGCCTGTGGAAGCAGAAGTCAGAGGAGGAAGAGGAGGCATTTCTGGATCCACTGAAGACACATTCTCTTCCTAAAGAAGCTCCTATTGGAGAGAAAGTCACTACAGCCCCATCCCAGCCATCTTGTAATTCTGAAGGCCTCCACAAGGTCACAGGCACACTAGAGCAAGGACTCACGCAGACCCCAAACCCTCCCAGATCCTTCCCCACCTTTCAGATCTTGACCAACCTGCCTGTGAGGCACACGACAGCATCAGGGGGCCGCCCACAGGAGAGAAAAAGCCAGTTCTTCTGGGGTCTGCCCTCTCTGCACAGTGAGTCCTTGGAGGCCATCTTCCTGAGCGCAGGTGGCCTCTCTCCCTTGAAGCTATCTGTTAGTCCCTCTGTCATCTTTAACAAGCTTGCCTTCCTGCCTAGATCCCCAGTATTGCTGCTTCCCCAGTATTGCTTCTCAACCCAGCTTCCCCCCCAGGAAGCCCATACTACAGAGGATCTGGAAAGGATGGCCTCTGATCCTCAGCAACTTCCCCCTCCATCTTCCCCTCCTGTCCCATCACTTCCCCTTCATCTTAACCCCTTTCCCATGGACCATAAAAGAGTCCTATCTGGCACTGAGGCAAATACACAGTGGCTTACGCAGCAGAGAGAGATCCCTTGGGTCTCTGGGGATCAAGCTCTGCACCAACAGCCTAACTTTCAAAGAACCAGACCCTCCAAGTTCTTCTATTCATCTGAGGCCTGGTGGAAGGTACCATGGAATCCTAGCCTCCAACAACACTTTCCAGACTCACTCTCTGCCTCCCTAGCAGAGAATCCCTCTAGTCTTCTGGGAGCCCTAACTAGGTCTGAGGCCCCATGGCAGACCGTGGGGCAAAAGGAGGACCCCAAAATCCCTGAGCCAGCAATGCCAGTTACCAGTCTAACCCAAGCTTCTCTGCCAGAATGCCAGGGAGTCAGCCCTCTTGGAGGCCCTTCTGGATCTGAGGCCCTCTGGGAAACCATGAGGCAAAGAGAGAAGCCTCAGGTCCCTGAGCCTGAAATCTTGGTCCCTTGCCAATCTGTAGCCCCCTTGATAGAGCCTCAAGGAACGAGCATCCTGGGAGTTCCACCTGCAGATAAGACTCAATGGGGAACTACAGGACCTAAAGAGAGTACTCAAGCCTTTCAGCCCCCAATGCCAGGCCCCTGCCAGCCCCCATCTCTGTCAGAAGCCCAGGAAGTCAGTCCTGAAGGAGGACCTTCTGCAACCAAGGATTTCTGGGGACCCTCGGGGCGCAGAGCAAGCCCTATGGCCTCTGGGTCTCCAGTGTCAGCCCTCTGCCCTCCCCCACACCCCCTGCCAGAACTCCTGGGGGGCGGACTCCTGGGAGAGCCATCTGGACATGAGCCCCAGCAGAGATACAAAGGAAATTCAATAAGACCTCGGGCCTCTGAGCCTCCAGCCTTTGACCTCGACCCAGGACTCCATGGAACAAGATCGGCTTGTGTTCCATCAGAACCTGAGACTCCAAGGAAGGGCATGGAGAGTAAAGAAAATCTTTGGGTCTCCGCAGACCCAGTTTCACCTCCCAGCTTCCCCTCAGCTTCTCTGGAGTCCATAGGCACAGGTGTCCAGGCAGTCTTGTCTGACTCCAATGCTTTGAGGGGGGCCATGAGGCAGAGAGACCATCTCTGGACTTCAGAGTCCCCAGCCCCTGGCCACAGCCTATCTCTAGCTCCTGTTCTAGAACACCACAGAATCAGTCCTGTGGGAGGCCTCACTGGGTCAGAAACTGCATGGAAGGAAACCGATCATTCCAGGAATTCCTGGGCTTCTGAATCCCCATCTCTGGCCTTCAGCACACCCCCAGTTCTTGTACTGGATTCCCTCAGAGCTAGCCCTATGGGGGTCCCGTTTGAATCTGAAGCTAGATGTGGGGATCTAGGAGGGAGAAAGGACTCCCAGATCTCGGAGCTCCCAGACTGCAGCTTACCCCAAGACCCACATGGAGCCAACTCCTTGGGAGTCCAGCCTGACTCTGAGCCTATTCACGGGGATGTGGAGCAGAAAGAAATCTGCTGGGTTCCTGCGTCCCCAGTGTGGGGCCCCAGCCCACTCTCAAACTCTCACACGAGTGAGCCTATTGGAGACAAACGTGACGAGAAGCCTGAGGGGGAAACAGTGAAACATACAGAGAACTGCAGGACCACTGAACTCCCAGCCTTAACTCCCAGGTTCTCTGCTCTTCTACCAGATCCACACATTGACCTTGAGTTTGTGAGAAGGAATATGCAACACCTCAGAGGGATCCCCCAGGACCCCAATCCTCCAGCAGTGGATCCCCTACAGCCAATACCTTGGCCTCCCGCCCAAGCTCAAGCTCTGAAGATTGAGTCCAACCAACCTGGCCTACCCAAGGGAGGGCTGTTAACAGGGGCTAACGCAGAGACTCCATCCTCCCAGGGTGAGGCTATCCCAAAGGTGCCCACCTACCCCAGGATCCAGGCCTGGCGCTGGAGTAAGGAGTTGGAACTCAGGCTGGACAAACTACAGCAGATCCCTGTTTCCAGATCTCCAAGTCAATCATTCAGCAGCTCCCTGTCCCTGAGCTCCACAACTCAAGCCACCCGGAAACTCTCTTCTTGCCCACCACAGCAGACTCATCCCCCAAGTCCTTGGCCCCACTCTTCAAGCTGTCATCCCCCCAAAGCTCAGAGCACAGTAACTCAGCCTGTCCAGGTCCCCTACTGCTATCACCCCCACTTCTCTTTCCAACCTCAGATACAAAAGTCTGGCAGGCCAGAACAAGGGTCTCGGAAAGAGCAAAGCAAGCAAGCAAAGACGGTGTACCAGATCTCACCCCAAGAGTCATGTGTTCACATGGAGGTTGGTGAGAACTGCCTGGGCCAGGAAGAGCCCTCGAACCCTGCGGTTGCAGGCTCAGGCAAGAGACAAGACAAATCTTCAGCTCTATCTTCAGCCAAAAAGGGAGCCAGCCCCAGGAAACCCAAAGAAGGAGACTATGGAGAAGCAGATGCAAGTTTGGGGTCATCCACAGTTACAGGGGAAAGCCACCCAGCTCAGGCCAGATTAGCAGAGATCCCTGTCAGCAGACTTTCACGAAGATCTCAGCACAGCGACCAGTGCTCTCCACGCACTGCTTTCTCCCCCCAGCCTCACTCCAAGTATGTAAGTTCCCCAGGTCAGAGAGGGGCAAGGCTGGGAACTCCTGACATTCTGGCCCCTAGGCACTGTAAGCCCTGCCCTTGGGCACGGAAGCATCTTTCCTCCTCACCTCCCGCTCCCCTTAACAGCAGTCTTCAATGGATATTAGCCAAGTTTCTGGGTACCCATGAACCCATGCCCACCAAATCCATCAGCAGAGGAAAGCCTGGTAGCACTGGCACCCAATATAAGTATCCCAAGAAATGAAGTCAAACCAGTTGGGGGGTGGGGAGACAAAGGAAATCCTAATAAACTAGCTGAACTAGAAAAATCCCACTCAGGTCTTTTTTTGGTCTGGGGTACTGGGAATGTCAATTCCCTATGCTGCTGCAGCTGTTACATCCCCAGGATCAGGGTCCCACAAGCTTGGGATTCTGTGGGTTTAACTTTCTTTTCTAGCTATTCACATGATCACCTGGAGTGTCCTGTACAGGGTGAGGCTGTTAGGGCCAGGAAAGCACAGACCAGTGCTGCCCTTGAGAAAAACTCTGCAGGAAGTCAATAGAAGGAAAATACACCCCTTCACAGGACCACAACTGATCTGAGGCTAGGCAGCTGTTGTTGGTCCTGGGCATGATCTCCTTCTTTACTTGATCCACAAATATATCTTTCTAGCCAGTTCCTGTCAGCCCTCTGCTCTCTTTCTCAGGTTTAGCTCATGCATCCCAAGGTCACAAAAGTTTAGTCCCTTTTCCTGTTAAGTGGTCATCTGGATTTCTATCATATTGTATACCCGTTTTTCTATTGCATTTTATAATAGTTATTACTTTTCTACTGCTGCCATAACAAATTACCACAAAACAACACAAAGTTTGTTAGGTCTGATATATGTCTCACAGGGCTAAAATCAAGAGGTTGATGGGGCCGTATTTCTTTCTGTGGGCACTGGGTAGGGTTCATTCCTTGTCTTTCCAGCTTCTAGAGGCTCCCTTATTCCTCAGCTATTGGCCTCCTCCTCCATCTTCAAAACTAGCAAAAGAAAGTTAACTTCTCATGTCACTTTTTCTTCCCTGTAACACTTTTAAGGGTACTTTTAATTAAATTGGGCCCATCTTGATAATCCAAGATACTCTTCCTATCTTAGAGTCAGTTGCTTAGCAATCTTAATTCCATCTGCAACTTTCTCTCTGGCCATATAGCATAACATTCATAGGTGCCAGGGATTAGGATGTGGACATTGGGGGGTGGGGGGCAGGCAAGCTCAGGAATGGCATTATCCTGCCTATCACAGATATTTTTTTTTTTTTACTTTGTTTTTTTTCATTTATTTTTATTAGTTGGAGGCTAATTACTTTACATCATTGCAGTGGGTTTTGTCATACATTGAAATGAATTAGCCATGGATTTACATGTATTCCCCATCCCGGTCCCCCCTCCCACCTCCCTCTCCACCCGATCCCTCTGGGTCTTCCCAGTGCACCAGGCCCGAGCACTTGTCTCATGCACCCAACCTGGGCTGGTGATCTGTTTCACCCTAGATAATATACGTGTTTCGATGCTGTTCTCTTGAAACATCCCACCCTCGCCTTCTCCCAGAGTCCACAAGTCTGTTCTATACATAGGAGTCTCTTTTTCTGTTTTGCACATAGGGTTATCGTTACCATCTTTCTAAATTCCATATATATGTGTTAGTATACTGTAATGGTCTTTATCTTTCTGGCTTACTTCGCTCTGTATAATGGGCTCCAGTTTCATCCATCTCATTAGAACTGATTCAAATGAATTCTTTTTAATGGCTGAGTAATATTCCATGGTGTATATGTACCACAGCTTCCTCATCCATTCGTCTGCTGGTGGGCATCTAGGTTGCTTCCATGTCCTGGCTATTATAAACAGTGCTGCGATGAACATTGGGGTACACGTGTCTCTTTCAGATCTGGTTTCCTCGGTGTGTATGCCCAGAAGTGGGATTGCTGGGTCATATGGCAGTTCTATTTCCAGCTTTTTAAGAAATCTCCACACTGTTTTCCATAGTGGCTGTACTAATTTGCATTCCCACCAACAGTGTAAGAGGGTTCCCTTTTCTCCACACCCTCTCCAGCATTTATTGCTTGTAGACTTTTGGATAGCAGCCATCCTGACTGGTGTGTAATGGTACCTCATTGTGGTTTTGATTTGCATTCCTCTGATAATGAGTGATGTTGAGCATCTTTTCATGTGTTTGTTAGCCATCTGTATGTCTTCCTTGGAGAAATGTCTGTTCAGTTCTTTGGCCCATTTTTTGATTGGGTCATTTATTTTTCTGGAGTTGAGCTGGAGGAGTTGCTTGTATATTTTTGAGATTAATCCTTTGTTGCTTCGTTTGCTATTATTTTCTCCCAATCTGAGGGCTGTCTTTTCACCTTGCTTATAGTTTCCTTTGTTGTGCAAAAGCTTTTAAGTTTCATTAGGTCCCATTTGTTTATTTTTGCTTTTATTTCTAAAATTCTGGGATGTGGGTCATAGAGGATCCTGCTGTGATTTATGTCGGAGAGTGTTTTGCCTATGTTCTCCTCTAGGAGTTTTATAGTTTCTGGTCTTACATTTAGATCTTTAATCCATTTTGAGTTTATTTTTGTGTATGGTGTTAGAAAGTGTTCTAGTTTCATTCTTTTACAGGTGGTTGACCAGTTTTCCCAGCACCACTTGTTAAAGAGGTTGTCTTCTTTCCATTGTATATCCTTGCCTCCTTTGTCGAAGATAAGGTGACCATAGGTTCGTGGATTTATCTCTGGGCTTTCTATTCTGTTCCATTGATCTATATTTCTGTCTTTGTGCCAGTACCATACTGTCTTGATGACTGTGGCTTTGTAGTATAGTCTGAAGTCAGGCAGATTGATTCCTCCAGTTCCATTTTTCTTTCTCAGGATTACTTTGGCTATTCGAGGTTTTTTGTATTTCCATACAAATTGTGAAATTATTCGTTCTAGTTCTGTGAAAAATACCATTGGTAGTTTGATAGGGATTGCATTGAATCTGTAGATTGCTTTGGGTAGTATAGCCATTTTGACAATATTGATTCTTCCAATCCATGAACACAGTATATTTCTCCATCTGTTTGTGTCCTCTTTGATTTCTTTCATCAGTGTTTTATAGTTTTCTATGTATAGGTCTTTTGTTTCTTTAGGTAGATATACTCCTAAGTATTTTATTCTTTTTGTTGCAATGGTGAATGGTATTGTTTCCTTAATTTCTCTTTCTGTTTTCTCATTGTTAGTATCACAGATATTAATTCAACCTGTTACATTTGCTGCAAATATTTTCTCCCTATTTATGTAGTTTATTTTCTAATTTTAAGGTGATTTTTACCATGCCAGAGTTTAACTCTATCAACATTTTTCTTTATGGCTTCTAAAACACTTTATTCTAGCACTTTCATGGATGTATACTTGTTTACTTATTTACTTATGGCTGTACCTCACAGCTTGTGTAATTTTAGTTCCCCAACCAGAGATCAAACCTGTGCCCTCCTCAGGGAAAGGGTGCAGTCCTAACCACTGAACCACCAAGGAATTCCTACAGATGTACATTTAGACTATTAATGTAACTTTTGATTAGGGTATCTGATTCCCCCATCCCTGCAAAAAGATGTCCAATTTTATCAACTGCATTAGAAAAACGTCTTCAACCCATTCCCTTAGGTGCTATACTTCAAAACATGGGTCATTTATAAGCCATCTCTAGGCTTCAGATCTGCATATCTAACCACATATTCAACTTGTCCAAAACCTGCTTTTTCCCTTTAATCTTTTCTTTCAATGTGTGCGTTCCTATTGAAGGGGTGTACCACGTCCACCCCAATGCAAAGCCAGACACCTGCCATCCTTGATTCCTCCTTTACCCTCAAAAAAAAAAAAGATGACTATCTCACAATTTTTTTTTTGGGGGGGGGCGGGGGGTCATGTTGCAGATCTTAGTTCCTCAATCAGGGATCAAACCCAGGCCCACAGCAGTAAACACACCAAGTCCTAACCACTGGGCCACCAGGAAATTCCCCAAGTTTTTTTTTTTTTTTTTTAAGTGATTTATCAGGAAATCCCTGGTGCTCCAGTGGACAGGCCTCAGTGCTTTCACTGTGGGAGCCCAGTCAAGAAACTTGAGATCCCACAAGCCACAGCAGGCAGAGGCAGAAGGGGTGTTAGTGAACTGTCTACATAAAACCACATACATGTGGTTGACAATACTGTACTGTACATGGGAAATTGTTGGGTGAAATTACGCCACAGGAAAAAAAGTGGGGGGAAATGTGAATTGTCTAGAAACCTGATGACTACTTTCTGCCTAAACCCCCGGAGGACTCATGACATCATTAAAGTAAAGTTCACACTTGGCATTTGAGGTTCTTCATGTGGTTTGGACTCTCAGAATTCACTTCTGAGAAGTGAAGCTAGTCAACCTAATGCTTCTTAAGCTCTGACTCCGTCAAGCCTCCTGCCTTCCTTTAACATCCAGCTCAGACTACTACCTCCAGAGGCTTCTGAGATTCCCTTATCTTGGTATGGCTTCCCCTTCCTTGCTGCCTTAACAGTTTATGCCTTGTTGATAGCACTGGTTTTGTAGCTATTAAGCTCTTCAAAGACAGTGAGGTTCTATGAGGTCAAGTCCACACTCCCACACCAGTTGCTTTTTTCACCCTGTGTATCTGGTTGACAAAAACAGCCAGTCAGAAGTCACATGCAGCTGCTTCTGCCTCCTCATTATTACTGTTCTGTTCGGAAGCTTTATTTAGCCCAAACTTGTATATACAGTGATGCTGAAGCTGAAACTCCAATACTTTGGCCATTTCATGCGTAGAGTTGACTCACTGGAAAAGACCCTGATGCTGGGAGGGATTGGGGCAGGAAAAGGGGACGACAGAGGATGAGATGGCTGGAGGGCATCACCGACTCGATGGGCATGAGTTTGAGTAAACTCCGGGAGTTTGTGATGGATAGGGAGGCCTGGCGTGCTGCGATTCATGGGGTCGCAAGAGTCGGACACGACTGAGCGAATGAATTGAACTGAACTGTATATACAGGCTGATATCAACTCACCACCTGCTGGCTAAGAGTAGAACTGAAGGTACTTCCCTTCTCACCTATCCACCTCCAAAAAGTCTCGTAGTCTCAAAGACAATGCAATTTTAATTTCCACTTGCCTTTGGGCCATTTAATAAGTCTATGCATCTCTCAATAGCTTTATAAAAAAATCCACATCATGTTCTTAAGTCTTAAGCCCTCAGTAGTTTGTAGGGCTTGGCAAGATTAACAAACTAAGATCCCTTGGAGAAGGGAACAGCTACCCACTCCAGTATTCTGGCCTGGAGAATTCCATGGATTGTACAGTCCATGGGGTCACAGAATCAGACACGACAAGACTTTCACTTCACCTAACATTTGCTCAGCTCAAAGCAATGATCAATCCCTGTGTTCCTCCTGGGCATTATGTAACCACTAGACTCTCAAGGTTACTTTCAGGATCAGTATCTTAGACCCCAATACATCTCCAAAAGTTAGATTTATAGTTCCATCTTTGATTTTGCTTCTGTGGTAAACTGTTGGTCTTCTATGATCTAATTTGATGCCATATTCTTGGTTAGAAACTCATCTTCTAATCATAGAACTTGATTTGCTATACTACTACTACATTCCAATTTCTTCCTGGGAAGCTTGTGGGGGAAAAGAGAAACTGGCTTTACAGTTCACCTATTTGTTTAAGTATACAGAATTCTGCAGGTGCATGCTGACAACAAACTGTCCCTCACACTGCCTTCTACAGTTTACGAAGCACTGTCAATCACTTTATCAAAGAAATCTTGAGGCCCCAGAAGAGCTGAGTCTTCCTTGTTTGATGCTACACTGCTATAAGCACACACGTCAGAAGCAAAACCAGGCCTCTCACAAGTCTGCTCTTGTTTTTTCCTAAAGAGTCTATAGAGTTCCAACCACCTTCCCTATAGGTATACTTTGTGTTTTAAGTGAGTGCAAAGCAATCATTCTAACATAAATTTCTGTAACGTATTAATTATTAGTACCCTCCACATATTTTGTGGGATCTTGCCTTCTGCTCTGTTCCCACAGCTTGATGCAGAGGTACCAAGTGTCTTTTCTCCTAAAGACCTTGCCTTTGGTCTCACTGAGGTTAGGCTGCCACAGGGATCAGATGGTGCAACAATGTAAGAGTAAGAAGACTGAAAGCTGAACCATCAGGATACCTAAATGGTGTGAAAACCAATGGAGGAGCAAAGACAAGATCTGGTAGAGAAAAGTGTCACGGTTAACAGGGAGAGTCAATGCAAATCACAAAAGTGTAAGAATATCTATTTCATAGCACATGAGTTCAAGATGCTCCAATTTAATCAGCCTGTGTAACTATCTTGAGTCCTTGCAGATTACCTACCTATAAATGTCAAACTGGAGGCTGGTGTAAATACTAGAATGACTAGGTTGATTCAGCAGATTATTTTCTCTGCATCATACTCTTCAGTAAGGCATCACGATACCAATCCCAGAAACACTAAGTGATTACGCTGGTACATGTTGAACAGAGGACACACTATACCTGGACAAAATTATACAAGCAATCATCTGAAAAGCTAGGAGCAGGGGAGGATGTTCAGTTTAGAAAGAAACACATCCAAAACTAGAATTTTATATTAGAAAAAAAGCTATGTTTTTATAATACAAATTACATAAAGGTGGACATAATTTTAAGTGATCCTCAACCAGAACATGAATATATGAAAATCAAGATGCATCAAGAGAACATCCATCTCCAAACAGAGACTATACCCCAACCCAGCCTTGGTCAGGAAAAGGGGACTCTACAGGCCTAGTCTCACCATCCCCATCAAATACAGGTAGAGGATGTCACATTCCCCACTTCTCAAGCTGCATCAGGCTGTACCCTGCCCTCCACTGCAGTCCTATCCAGTGAAACCGCAGACACTGGGCGAGGCAGCAGCACACCAATGTTAAATCAGGAGGGGAAGAGGGTGCAACCTCACTTCTAGTATTTCACATTTGGAAGAGTGCCTTGGCAGTGAGGAGCAGCCCAAGGCCCTTCCCAGGAAAGAAGCAGGCACAGGGCCCAGGACTCAGGCTCCATTTTGACCCAACGTTTATTGTCCTTTTACAACATGTCGTTTTTGGTTTAGAAACTGCTTGTGATTAGTTTTTCAACATTAACTCAAAAGCATGTAAAATAAAAATCAACCTACTTTCTATATAAACACCCAGCAACTGTAGCCCTTCGCCCTCCTGCCCAGGTTGGGTAGGGGGAAGGGAGGACTTGGGCAGCATTGAATGAAGTGCAGATGCTTTGCTGTGGGGACTGGTGATAATGCCTTTGTTCACACCCACAGAGGTTCCCTGCACTGCTCTAAACTACAACAGAAATGGTGCAGGCCCCAGGCCCAATTCCTTGTTGGTAATTCACTCTCCGCCTCCCAAATGAAAATCGCTTTTATTTTATCGCTTTTGTATTTTTTTTTTTTTGCAACAGTAACCCCCTGTCCAGAGTCTGACTGCAGCTGAACTGTTCACACTGAGGAATGGAGCAGGCCATGGCGCACGCCTGGTCCCTCCTGGGCGAGCGCCCCCACCCTCAGGGAACAAGGTCCAGCCAGGCCAGCTCACTGCTCGCTGGCCACCACCACTTAGCCATACAGGTCATCATCATTATCTTCCGTGTACACACTGCCACCTGTGCCACCGCCACTGCCCTGACTGGGGCCAGCTCCACCCTGGTTTCCTGAAGGGAATCTGTATTAAGAGCAGAGGCAAAAAAGAGGGTTAGGATAGGACTTGTGCACGACTTTCACCATTAGCCCTTTTGTGTCCTTAGGGCTCCCACTGCCTTGGTTGCATAGTTCCCCAAGACGACTTAAGCACAGCCCACTGAAACCTAGTTACCTGAAGCTGCCAAAGCCCCGACTCTGCTGAAGGGTCTGAGCAAACATTTCATACTTCCGGATGTCATTATCACTGACAGAACGGCGGGCAAAGCGCATGGCTTCCTCAAAGTGATCTCGGCGGATCTCAGGCACTGGATCATCCTCTTCTACTTCCTGTAGGATGGGTAAACACAGACCACCAGGGCTGGTTAAGGCTCTGCCTGGATTCCTTCCCTAGCGTTCCTGACCCCATTATTGCAGCAGCGGATTGGGCCTCTCCTATCCAACTTGAATATGCTGCCAGGCTAATATTCCTAAAACTGAGTCATGCCTTGCTTAAAAACCTGCCAATGCTTTCTGGAAATGGTAAAACTGTAGGGACAGATTTCACTACCAAGAGCTTATGGTGGGAACAAAAAGCTGATTAAAGTGACATAAGAGGGATTTCCCTGGCAGTCCAGGGGTTGACACTCCGGGCATCCAGTGCAGGGGGCATGGGTTTGATCTCTGATCGGGAAACTAAGATTCTTCATGCTGCAGCCAAAGAACGGGGAAAAAGTGGCATGAGGGAACTTTTTGGGATGACAGAAATTTGTCTATCTCAACTGTGGCAGTAGTTAGAAAACTTAAAACATATTTGTTAAAAAGCATGGAAATAGTATAATAAAAATAGTAAATTTTACAATATGTAAATTACACCTCATAAGCCTATATTTTCAAAAAGAAAATGTCAATGGCTCTCAGTGCTTATCACAACTGAATTATACCTTACCCACAGGCCTTACTTCCAGTAACACACAACCTCTCTACTGTATCCAGGTTTTCCCAATTCCTGCGGTTCTATTCCTCAAGCAATTTACTTGCGTGACTTACTTCCTTTACCCAACCTCTATTTTCCTTATAGTCCAGGCTCACACCCTATCTCTTCTACTAAGAAGCTACTCAACTGCTGCGACTTTGGATCACTGTAGTTTATAAGCTTTTATGAGAGGGAGAGAAACATCACTAACGGTAAAGAAAGCCAATTTTTTATTTGCTCATTAAGTCAGTTTCCAACACTGTACCATGATATAGTGGGAAACAAGCGAGATAACAAGAGTCCCTATCTTTATTGAGCTTATATACACATACATATCAAATTCTGCACTTAATTCAGGGGGTCCATGGAACACCAGGAATAGGTCCATATATCCTAGCTTCTCAGCCCTGCTCTATTTGTTTCTGTGCTCATTTCTTCTCAGCCTTTGTAATTCCTGATTGACGTGGTTATCTACTCAGCATTTTCTCTTCCATGGCATGCTAAACCTCTCAGACAGATGAACTTTCCAAAACCTTACACTCTAGGGCACTGTGGAGAGTCCCCTGGCTCCCTACGTCAAGCACATCTGGCTTAAGGATGCAGACTCACCATGGCTGATGGGTTGGTCTGCCGCTCCCGTTCTCGCCTGATTTCACTCTCAATCGATTCACGAATGGCCAACTTGCAAGCACGTTGGCAAATCTCTGTCAAGTCAGCTCCAGAGAAGCCATTAGTCATCTTAGCCAGGAACTCTAAATCCACATCCTAAAAGAAGCAACAGAGCTACTTTAGCTTTTAGCCTCTTCCCGAGATACACTGATCTTTGAGCCACCCAAGCACTCCCAATTCCAGTTTGTTCCATCCTCTGCCATCAGTTTTATTCCTTATTCTAGATTATCTTAATACCCTCAAATCTTCCATCTTCCCTTTTCAACCATAACCCCAGGAATCCCCAGTGGAACCTTGTCCAGGAACCAAGGAGCATTCCACACAGCCTGCAGATTCACGACCCTGCGACCCAAGACTTTGCACCTGCCTTGGCAACTGGGGACTTGCGCAGGTTGGCCTTGAGGATGGCAACACGGGACTTCTCATCGGGAAGCGGGATATAGATGAGCTGATCAAGGCGGCCAGGTCGCAGGATGGCAGGATCAATGATGTCAGGTCGGTTGGTAGCGCCAATGATAAATACATTTTTCTTTGTGGACATGCCATCCATTTCTGTCAGGATCTGGTTGATGACTCGGTCGGCAGCCCCACCACCATCTCCAATGTTGCCACCACGGGCCTTGGCAATCGAATCCAGCTCATCAAAGAACAGTACACAGGGGGCAGCTTGGCGTGCCTGTGAGAGGGACAGGTGGACTCAAGCATTAGCACAACTGGGTCTCTCAGACCCGAGAAAAATGGTTAACTGAGCTGCCAGAAAGGGATGGTCTTACCTCTCCCAAAGAACAGCCTCTACCCCTAACTTGTTCCCAAGCAAGTGAATTGATAGCCTAGCCACTTGGAGCTCACCTTGTCGAAGATTTCCCTCACATTGGCCTCAGACTCCCCAAACCACATGGTGAGCAGTTCAGGACCCTTGATGGAGATGAAGTTGGCCTGGCACTCATTAGCAATGGCTTTGGCCAGCAAGGTTTTCCCACAGCCAGGAGGTCCATAGAACAGTACTCCCTTGGAGGGTGTCATGCCAAACTTGAGGAATTTGTCTGGGTGCTCCACAGGATACTAGGAAGAAAAACAAAGAAGATTCAGGGATATCTCCCCCAGTTTGAAAGAAACCCAACTTAACAGAAGCATCCTCCCACACCATCTCATGGTGTAAGGCGACAGGCTTCTTGGTGCTTCAAACCTCAGAACAGCAGGTTCCTGAATCATGCTCATAATTTCTGCAATGAATGTGCCAACACCCCAATACCACCAGCTCAATGACAATGTGCTGAGGCAGTGACCCACCCTGGACCAAGTACCCTACCTGGACCAGCTCCTGAAGCTCACGTTTGACATCCTCCAAGCCCCCAATGTCCTCCCAGGTCACCTGTGGCACCTCTACCACAGTTTCCCGCAGTGCTGATGGGTTGCTCTGGCTCAGGGCCCACTAAAAAGGGGAGAAAAATTGGGGATGAGAATTGCCAGGAAAGAGATCAAAGTGCATGTGTGTGTACCTGAAAGGGAGAGTGGCCCTTACTCGGAAGTCATCCATAGTAACTGCCAGGGAGTTCATGACCTCAGCATCAATGGTCTCGTCTTCTAGGTCAATGAGGTCCATCTTCTTGCGGATGGCTTGCAGAGCAGCCTCAGAGCACAGGGCTGCTAAGTCAGCTCCCACGTGCCCATGAGTCTCATTGGCTACCTGCAGAGAGAAGATCCACTTACTCTCCTGTCTCTGAGACCTAGCTTAGACATCTCTCTTCTGCCTTAGATAAAAGAACCCTGCCCTCTTCCTCTGACTCCTATCTCTGGGTCCTCCATTTCCCTAAATACATACCAGCAGCCCTTTCATTAGCTGGACTTTTAAGTATTCAAGCCTGCACTTGGGGCCTGGAAATAAAGCTGCCCCCAATATTCTGGTTCACCCTAATTCAGTGTAAACCAAGAAAAATGCCAACCCTAGTTTCCTGGATTCAATCTCAGATCACCTCCCTTTCCCTGCCCAGGAATTAAAATCAATTGCCTCACATCTGAAGGCTCTGTCCCTAATCAGCTCCCTTCAACTGCCTGGAAACAAGACATCCGAGCTTCTGGCCAGCCCTCATCAACATGCCACCTGTTCAAGGTCCACATCATCTGCCAGCTTCATGTTCTTGGTGTGGATCTGAAGAATTTCCAAGCGTCCGGTAGCATCAGGGATGCCAATATCCACCTCTCTGTCAAAGCGACCTGGGAGATGATGCACAGACAGAGATCATTTCTGGTGCATAGGGAAGAAGGGCCCAGGCCTAAGGTGTCCAACCATCCCACTGTGACTAGGAAATGTCTGGTGTTAGCACTGAAAGCCCCTTATATTGGGAAATCCCCCAGTCTCAGGCAAACCAGGATGGGTGGTGACCCTGGACATGACATGGAGTAAGGGAATGAAAGGACCTTACTCTTTGCCTAACTGCAAAGGGCTTCAAGAAATCCTCAAAAAAAAGAAATCCTCAGGATTAGATGACTTAGACAAAGGACAAATATGGGATCAACAGGATTAAGCCCACTGGAGACATAATCTCCCCATGAGCAAAGACAGCAAAAAAGAGTTATTTGGGGTCCTTACCAAATCGCCGTAGGGCTGGGTCAATGCTGTTGGGTCTGTTGGTTGCTGCCATAACAATGACATGTGCTCTCTGCTTTAGGCCATCCATGAGGGTCAACAACTGTGATACAATACGCCGCTCCACCTCCCCATGGGTCTGTCAGGACAGAATATCTGGTCAGAAGTGAAGTCAGGACCTTTTAAAACCCTACTATCCCCTTGGTTAAGTTCCTACTTTTTCTCTTTTGGGAGCAATGGCATCCAACTCATCAATGAAAATGATAGCAGGAGCATTCTTCTCAGCCTCTTCAAAGGCTTTACGAAGGTTGCTCTCGGACTCACCAGCCAACTTGCTCATGATCTCAGGACCTGAACGCAAACAGAACGCATGCAGTGACAAAAATACATCCTTCCTCAATCTCAAAAGTATTCAAATATCTTGTCTGTCTAGTTCAGAGATAGGTCCTGGGTGAGAATGTGGTAACATCTGCCTACTTTCCCACAGCCCCTACCAACAATTATCCCAGGGTAGCCACCAAGCCAGGATAAAAGGAAGTCAAGGGGCTCAATACACTTATCTCAGTTGAGCTGAAAGGTATGAAGATGGTGACAGCAGATGCTGTGGGACCTCTGGCCAGAGCAGAAGCAACACCAGCTGGACCCCTACTGGTGCTGAAATATCATTTCAGCACCATTTCAGTGAAATATCATTCTCAAAGAGATAGTTGATCTCAGCCAGTCTTCCCCCAAATCCTCTCAAATAATTAAGCATAGACATTTTGAATTCTCATTCTAACTTACTCCTCTTTAATGTCTTCAGCCTGTTAATGCTCTTTCTCAAGAAGGGATAGATCAAAGGACACCAGAGTAGCATACCCTCCCCTTGCTGCTTATCTGTCTGCAGTGGACTTCAGAATACAAACACTGAAGTATACATGAAGCTATGTATACAAACAAGCATGTCCACGAGTTCTTCTGCTCATGAGACTGGGTCATGCATAGCTCAGAGTGGAGTCTAGCCAAACACAAAGTGAACCAAGTCTCCTACCATTGATCAAAAAGAAGAAGGCGCCAGTCTCATTTGCCACAGCTCGAGCAATCAAGGTCTTCCCAGTCCCAGGAGGTCCATAGAGCAGAATTCCCCGAGGAGGCTGAGGACCAGTACAGAGGGTTGATTAGGTTCAGACTCTCATCTTCTCCCAACCCCAGGTACCCTAAAATGGCCTAAGAAGGGTTCTATTTAAACAGGATGAGAATTAGAGCTCAACTCTGAATGAGCCCTCAAATAGCAGTTGCTAGGAAGACACTTTACATCAGACCATATTCACTCCTCTTTGCAGCAGAGATAATAATGCCAGAAAGCTGACAATACTTATGAATGCACAGGAGACAGACAGCAGAGAAACCACACTAAGAAACTCTTAGTGTGAGTGAGTCTGAAGCTCCTGGATCTAGGAAAAGTAAGAGGGCATTAGGCCAAGGGGATGACTTTAGACAGGTAAGAGCCAAGAACTAGCTCAGGCATTTAACAGTGTTGGCCAGAGGCTCACTCACTCCTATAATCACAACCCTCTAGGATTTATCATCATGTTGGAATGCCTTCCACTACCAAAAGCCACAAGTTTTCCTCCTTGAAGTTGTCTTTTCTCTGACTTCATCCACTGGAAGGATATGGAAAAGTATCCCCCCAAAAGATAAATTTATTTACACAATGTATACTAGGGAAAGGGACAGATAGAAACTTCATCTTCAGGGTGTCCTATGATATAGGAACAATTGAGATGTTACATTTTAGACCAGCAGTTCTCAAATATTCTGGACTCAGGATCCTTCACACTGCAAACTTCCTTTACGGCTACTGGGCAACACTGTTCTAGACAAGTTGGCAAACTATGGTAAGACTTAAAATAATAAATATTTAAAACAGACTATTTATATATTTATAGGGTCCACTAGATAAGAACGGTCTTTACATTTTGAAGGGTTGTAATTAAGAAAAAAAATTCAACAGAGAACTTAACTGGCCTACTCTGTTCTAGACCATTAGCAGCTTTAGTGAATTTAGAGTGTTTTATAAACCTGAATATAGTACTTCCTCTCAAATCCAAGGCAATGATGAAACAGAGATATGAAAACAGGTCCTAAGATTAGATAGTGAGTAGTTATTAATCACCACCCTAGGCTAACAGAGCCCAGAATACTCACCTTCACACCAATGGCCTTAAAGAGGGCAGGATGTCTCAGGGGCAATTCCACCATCTCCTTTATCTGAGCTAACTGTTTCCTGCAGCCACCAATGTCATCATAGCCCACTTCATTCAAGGACTCTTCCTCATCCTGAAGATGGAAGAGAAAAAGAAAAGGAGAAGGTTAGAATGCTACGATCAGCAAAAGCTGAGTTTCTCTAAAGCTGGTGTAGAGAATCTGCTGTATGAGAAGATTCTCCTCTAAGGGGATCATGCCTCGAAGAACAATTCAAAAAACCCTAGGGCCAGAATTTATTTATATGGCCATGCTGCGCAGCTTGTGGGATCTTAGCTCCCCAACAGGGATCAAACCCGCACCCTCAGCAGTAAGAGTGCAGAGTCCTAACAACTGGACTGCCAGGGAATTTCCAATCTTGGCTTTTACCGTTTATTTATTTCATGGCAAAGATTTCTAGCATAGCCTTTCCTTATTACATTGTCCTTATTCTTATTGCGGTGGGCTCCCCTAAGACCTGAAGCTAGAAACTGTGGGAAACGGGCAGGGGTCTAGATGTCATCATCAGCATCGCTTCTTCAAAAATTATTTCAACCACTAGACTCATTAGACTCAATCTAGATTTTAAAAATTATTGATATCAGATACTTCTTAAAAATACCTAGGTCCAGAAATGAATAGCTATGCCTTCCACCTCTGGGAAGTAGCTTAACCATCAAGCCTGAGGATTCTTTTGAACTACCGTACTACTGCCCCGCTGAGCACTCACAAAGTAGGGTACCGGGATCAGGAAGAGAACTCACCTCTCGTTTGATAGGCTCCCCTTCACAGTGGATCACTGTGTCTGGAGCAACAATGCAATAAGGACTGGGATCTGTCTCCACTACTTTGAACTCTACAGCACGCATTCCACCCCGGACAAGGAAAATGTCTCCTGTGAGAGCAATCAGCACAAGAGCAGTCAGAGGTGTCTATCACCAGACAAAGCTAAGAATTCCCCATCAGAACCTGGGATCTAGAATGCCAAGTTCACTAGATATTGTCCTTTCTCCTTCCCATCCACATCTTATTAAGCATCAGGCAAAAAGAGAAAGCTAAATTGTGAAGAGTCTCTCTGCCCCTTAAAAGACAGTGAATAAAATCTGATGTGCCAGGAAGAAGCCCATAAGATTTTTGACTTCTAGGGTATATATAACCCAAGCCTGCACAACCACCACCAATAGAAGAACTGTGCTAAGTATTAAATACACTGTGAACTGTGATATACCCCAAATGGCCCACCTCTTCCTTCGGAGATACCAAAGATAGCTTATTGTACTGGAGCAAAAAGGAGTGGGAATGGGAAAAGGGGGAAGTGCAAGGAAGCAGGAAAGGAGAGAGTATACATGTGCAGAATGTGTGTGTATGCATACATGTAGGAGAATTAGACAAAAATGGACCAAGGTTTACTTTTGGGTATCCCTACAACAGCAGCCCTTGAGTTCAGTCCTGAGGATTATCTCTCACCTTTCCGGATGGGTCGATAAGCTTCCAGGAAGTATGGCTTAAGGTAAACCTCAAAGAGATTGCCAGTGATGCCTTCCACCGTGTCATCGATGGGTAGTACATGGATGCGTTTGCCATATTTCACATCAGGGCATGGCTGGATGCTGAGGATGCAAGCAGACTCCACGTTACCAACCACACTGCAGCCCCAAGCACGTGGGTGTCCAAAAGGGCCTGGCACAGAGAGCTGATGGCGAGCGAAAGAGAAAAGGCAGGGATGGCTTTAGGTAAAGAGGGGCAAGAAGGTAGGACAGGAGCGAGGGCAGAGCACCAGCCAAGCAGAACGGGTCATAGGCAGGGCAGGGTGAGGGGGGGGAGGGGGGCCTCCAGAAGAAGCTGCTGGGACTGCCCACTCACCATCAGTGAGGCAGAAGAAAGACCCACACATCTAGAGTCCCCACAAAGACACAGGAGGGAAGGTCTTCAATGAGACATAGCCAAGGATGACCCATTCTGGTTACTACTGGTAACCCAACGTTACAAAAGGGGACCTCAGTCTGACAAGTGTCAGGGTCAGAGAAATACAACTGAAAAAATCATCTCGGTCAGGTGGTCAGAGCACCTTGAGAAAGTGACTAAGCACTTCCAGGAAGAAGGCTCCATAAAACCTAGAATCCCCCAAAAAGAATCAGAAGCCTGAGATGTTCCTGGCCAGGTGACAAGATGGTTGGGTAGCACTGGCCAGTGATGACTTTAAGATGGAGAAACCTCTTGCCTAAAGTCTAAAATCACTCAGACTGGAACTATCCTAGGCCTGGCTCAAACTATGCCTCTCACCTCGATTAGCTTGGATCTTTATACAAACCTGCTAGGAGTCCACCTTCCATGCCCATACTCCATCTCATCCTAGCCCCAACAAAAGCCATTAATGCAAGGCTACAAGCTTATTTGGCAGATACAACCCTCAAATGGCATCCTAAACCAAGGTCTATGGTGTGACCCCTGGTAGAAAAAAATAAAGGTACCAAGAAAGTCAAGAAATGCCAACCTGTCCCAAGGGTCATGCAGAGGCAGATTTTGAAGTCCCAGAGGCAGACCCAAAGCCTAAAGACGACCTAGAAACCTAAGTCTCCCCATGGCCTGCAAGCTCCCAACATCCGCAGGTGCCAAGGCCTTTGTGGGGGTGCTGCCTGTACAGCGGGCAGCCTCTGGCCTCCCATCCCTGAGGGGCCAAGAACTCCACACACACCTGATGACATCCCCCAGGTGTACGCGAAGGTTATTCCGAACAACTCTATTCATTCGAATCTTCTCATCAGAACATGTGTCATCAGAAAGCACAATGCACACAGCTTCCCGCCTCTTCTTTCCTTTCAGCAACACTGTGTCACCTCGGAACAACTGCAGCTCATCCATCTTGGGCTGAGGAAAGAAGGTTAAGGCCTTTGGGTCACTGGGCCAGGGAATAAGCAGCAGCCCTGGAGGTTGGGATTCCCAGTAAACCCCATTCTATCTGTGGTCACTGCAAGAAAAATGAGAGAAGAAACCTGGGAAAAGCCCTCAGGTTAAGTGCAATAAGCAAAGATTGGACTGTGGACCCAACTTACCTGGGACAAGGATACCACACTGTTGTCCTCATTGATGGCTTCATCAACAATTAACCGATTGGGACGGTTTTTCTGTTTAAGAATGGCTGTTGATAAATCATCGCCTTTTGAACTAGAAAGAGAAAAAGAAGTCAGTTCCAAAACAAATTCCAGCAATGTCCCCACCAGTCTCTAAAACTCACACTTAGGAAAGAAATAGTGCATTGACGAAGTTGTCCCCACATAGAGCCCAAATAAAGAGAAAGTCAGTCAAGATCAAGAATGCTTATCAAGTATATTACAATTCCTGTTTCAGCAACTCTTGGTATTCTGAGTACTGGTATCCTAGCTATAAGGCCCCAGGTGATCTTGCCTAGGGTCAGGAAACTAAGAAAACAAAATAAAAGTGGAGGCTGAGCAGTAATTAGAGAAATGAAAATAGACGGTACAGAATAGTAATTAAGAGAAGGGGCTCTGCAGTCAGACCTGTTGGGTCTGAATTCCAACCCTGCCACTTAGCTGTGATCTTGGGCAAGTGATTTGACCTCTCTGGAGGCCAATATAAAATGGGGACTACAATAGCACTCATCTCAGAGGATTACTATCTTAAAATAGTGAGATGTTGAAGGCAAAATGGGCTGTCTTAAGTGAGATATGAACGCCTGGCATATGGTATGACGTTTAGTATGATTAGCATTGCAGAACATAGCACAAGCTCTTTCTTTGCTGACCTTCTTGCAGTGAGTAAGACAACCTCCCATGGGGCTGAGAGAGGCCCCAAGCCCCACAGAGTAAGCCTGGAAACTATAAAGAAGAATCACTAGAATTACCCTTCCTACTGGCTAAACTTGCTGAATGCCAGAGCATTCTGTGCACCACAGGAATGCAAAGCATAAGGACCATCATATTTGAAAAAAGCAAACACACAACACTATCAGATCTGGAATCTTCACCAGAAAGAAGCTCAAGCTCAAATGCAGTTTCACAGTTATCTCTGCAAAGACACACAACTCCATGGAGTTGGTTCAAAAAGTTAAAACCAAGAAATGCTGAGACATGGGACAAATCCAAATCCCTCTTGTCTAAATCAAGGTTGCCTGAGTCTGAACTCAGTTTAAACTACCTAAATAAACTACCTGAACCACTTCCCAACACCAATTTCTCTGTGGGATCTCCCTTTGAAGAGAAGGTCTTACCTTCTCTTATTAAAGCTCAGGAAAACATGGGCATTGACCCAAATAAGGAGGCCAGACAATGGAAGACACCAAGGAATAAATAAAAAGAAAAATTTCCCCTGGACTATTTCTTCACTCAACAAATTAACAAGGGGTGTGTTTGTGTGTGTGTGAGCTTCCTGGCACTAGGGGTACAGAACCTGCCTGCCAATGCAGGAGACTCGGGTTTGATCTCTGGGTCAGGAAGATCCCCTGGAGGAGGACATGGCCACCTACTCGTCAGTATTCTTGCCTGCAGAATTCCATGGACAGAGGAGTTTGGCAGGCTATGGTCCATAGCACTGCACAGAGTTGGACATGATTGAAGCAATTTAGCATGCACGCATATATGTTTTTCCCTGATGGTTCAGATGGCAAAGAACCTGCCTGCAACGTGGGAGACCTGGGTTTGATTCCTGGGTTGGGAAGATCTCCTGGAGAAGGGACTGGCTACCCACTCCAGTATTCTTGCCTTGAGAATTCCATAAATACACCAGGCATCGTTCGAGGATCTGGGAATTATCAGCCAACAAAAGACAAAATAGTATTCCTACTGGAACTATCTTCACAATTTGCAAGAAAAAAAGATGTCTGTACTCTAGAATAACAGCTAGGAAGTTAACAGGATTTTTTTTTACATCTTTTGGTCCTGATACATTCAAAAGTAATATTACACAAATCCCACTCATCTAAAAATGTTATAAGTTTTCTGCTGACCCTCTCACATAACCTGGATCTTTATTTATTCCCTTTAAACTTAACTTCCAAGAGTGGAGTTTCCTTAGCTTAAATTTGCCTCCCCCAATCCAAAAGTCCCCTGGAGAAGGAAATGGCAAACCACTCCAGTATTCTTGCCTGGAGAATTCTACAGAGAAAGGAGCCTGGTGGGCTACAGTCCATGGGGTCACAAAGAGTCGGACACGACTGAGTGACTAACTTTTTAACCCAAAAGTGGTGATCACAATGCTGCAGGGGCATACTCTTCCAATGCTTATAAACACTCTGGAAAGCACCGTGGTCAATATGAGAGGGCAATTTAAATCCATCAATTCTCCCTCTCTCCCATGCATCAAAATATCCTTCAAGGCCTGCCCATCTTCCTGTCTGATGTATAGGGCTAGGGCTAGAAAAAAATAAAATGTCAGGTGCCTCTAGCTATCACTTTGTATTGTAACCACAAAACTGCATTCTAGGAAAATCTCCATTCTGCCTACGTTCCTGACTCTGGCACTGGAGAAGAGTGGGATGCTCTTAAAGACCTTTAATTCCACATCTATCTACTGAGATCAAAGGAAGTAACCTCTACATAACAGAATTCAGTTTGATCCCGGGCCAACAGTCCTGGAGAACTGTTTTGGGGGACGTCCTCCTGGTAGTCGGCATGATTCAGGCCCCTTTCAGAACCCCAACGGGCCACAGGAGACTTGGACAGGGTTCAGGTAAGGGTCATCAAGATGACCTAGAGATCAGAAACTGTCCTATGACGCCAGGTTCCAAGAATTCTGGACTTTCAGTCTTGGAAACTAAAGACTAAGAGACTACTTTAATTAGTAAGTAGTTCTTTTAAATAGGCACCTGAGTAATACTTCATCTCAATTCAGAAACTTGAAAAAAAGGAACAAGTCTCAAAAAAAAAAAAAAAAAACCCACCTAAACTCTAAACTCAGTAAAGTGATTTGCATAGAAGGGTTTCCACAGGATGGCAGTGTCTCCCCCTATACCCCCAGTATCTAAAGCTCTTGATTCTAAAATGGGCAGAGGTGGTCAGGTTTTATTTGATGCTTTCCTAAGCAGAGGGCCCAGGATTTCTCAACACAGCTGCTTAGGGAAAGCAATGTGTGAGTTTAAGGGAACTCTAACCTTCACACACAAAGGCTGAAATCTAGAAAGGCCGACAAAAAACTGAGATTTGAATTTTAGCAAGAACCTAAAGAACCCCATTTCACAACATCAAGGAAAACTGACGAAAGCATTCTCGTATGAATAACAGGCCTCAAGTATTAATATGAAGGCGGACAGAAGCGAACGGCTGGGCCTGCCCCTTTCCTCAACAGCCTCTCACCACTCAGGTCTTCAACTACTGGCCACGCCGACCCAGCTCTAAAACGGCTTTCGTGAGCTTCCCTGAGTTCCCAGGCCCTTCCCAGCGCCGGCCTCCGCCTCGGTCTCCGGGCTGAGGCCTTCACGTGGCTCAAAGTCCACGCCCACCGGGCCCAGTTAGGGCGTTGGGCCCGCCGCGGGGCCTGCGCTCTCCTGGGACCAAAGGCCCAAAGAGGGTGGCAGATCAGATCGCAGGTGGGCGCCGCAAGGCCCCGGGGCTCTGCGCCGTCAGTGTGAGCCCGCAGACCTCACTAGGCTGGGACGGCCGTTCCAAAGGAGCCAATGAGGCCGGCCCGGGCCTGCATGACACAGCACGATCTGGCCCAGGCCCCGACCCAGGCCCAACTCAAGCCCCGCCTAGGGGGCGCGCGGGTGCGCAGCTGGGCCCGGGTCCGCGGCTCCTCATTCGCCCCTTTCCTCTTCTTCCCTCTCCCTCGTTCCCTGTCTCCACCTCCAAGACGCGCCCACAGCCAGGCCCGGCCGGGCCTACCCAGCGCGGTGGGTCTCCCGGTGCGCGCACCCACAGGGGGCGGACGGGCACGCGCACACACTCACTCAGCTCCGGAGGCCATGGCGCGCGCTTCTCCCTGCCGGCGGCTGTGGCGGACCGCGGGTAACGGCTCTGAGGGGTGTCAGGCGACTGACTGGGCCGGGACTCGGCTCTCCCGGAGAGGAGGCGAGTGGCGGCGACAAACCCCCAAGCCTCCCTCTTGTTTCCTCCCAGCGGCACTAGGGCGGTGGACGAGCGGGCGGGCGGCGCTGGCGCCTGATCCGCGAGGGGGTAGCGGCAGCGACGACTCAAACGACGGCTGCAGACGCTTCGCTAAGACTGAGCGGAGAAGAGCCGAATCATCGGAAGGAGAGGTGCTCTCACCCCAGCCAATCAGCGTCTGCCGTGGCGACTCCCGCCCGCCTCTCTGTCCCTCTCCCCAGCAACCCGCGGACCGGAGCCAATCAGGAAATTCGTTTGTGGCCTGGCTCCCGCCTCAGGGGCGCAACACGCCTAGTAACGCCACGTCAATTGGCCGCAACGATACGCTTCCTCGACGGATTGGGATTTCCGACCAATCAACGAAAAGAATAGGGCCAGATCGACTGGCGAAAGGAGAGCCTTTATCCCTGGGAGGCAGACTCTCCCACTTGGCTCCAGTTCATTGGCTCCTGAGTTTACCCTACTAGAAAAACCTGGCACAATGGATTGAACCCTTATATTATCTAGTCCAGTTGTGTTGATAAACTACACACCCGTCTTCTTCCAAAGCCGGAGGATCCACTCTAACCCCTCTCCTTGGTTCTTCAGGACGCCGGCTCCAGCCACCTTTATTCTGGACTCTTGACTAGCACCCCAGCTCTTAATCCACTCTACCCTATCGTCATTACACCCTTTGATAATCGTAATCCCATAGGCTTTACAGTTTCTCGGGGCTTGGAGATACATGCTTCCTTTCCACTCGTTATTAATATTCATGGCTAAAGGAGGGAGTGGACTCAAGTCCAGAAAGGAGTCAAAAGGCAGCTACAGAACACTCAGCAGAGCCCAAGGCAGCAAGAAAATTGTACACTGAGACTTGGAAGTCCTAGGGCCCCAAATGCAGGTTGTTGCTGTTAAATCGCTAAGTCGTGTCCGACTCTGCAACCCCACAGACTGCAGTGCGCCAGTCTTTACTGTCTTTCACTAGCTCCCAGAGTTTGCTCAAATTCATGTCCAAATCGCCAGGTCGCGCTAACTATATTCAATATGCAGCTTTGGGGGCCCGTTGACTGAATTCACCCTTCACCCCCTATTGACACAGACATAGTTGACTCAGACAGTGGAAATCCAAATTTGGGATTAGGGTGGGGGTGGGAATCTGAGACTCAGAGGTCTGCTTGTTTCTCGCTTCCAAGGATTAACGAAGAAGGCAATGGCACCCCACTCCAGTACTCTTGCCTGGAAAATCCCATGGACGAAGAGCCTGGTAAGCTGCGGTCCATGGGGTCCCTAAGAGTCAGACACGACTGAGCGACTTCACTTTCACGCATTGGAAAAGGAAATGGCAACCCACTCCAGTGTTCTTGCCTGGAGAATCCCAGGGACGGGGGAGCCTGGTGGGCTACCGTCTATGGGGTCGCACAGAGTCGGACACAACTGAAACGATTTAGCAGCAGCAGCAGCAGCAGCAGCAAGGATTAAAGGCACTGCTTTTTGAGTAAGGATTCCCTTAGCCCCTTCTCGAGGCTCATAAGTTAGATGATGTTGGGAGAGGGTATCATGGACAACCGGCACTCAACTGAATCAGAAAGCTGTGAGCCTTCCCACCTCAAGTATATATAGTAGGCAGACAACAGGTAGATATGAAATTTTACTCAACACATGAAAAGGGAAACAGGATAAAAGGTGCTATGAGCAAGTCAATGCCTTGTTGGTGGAAGCAGGGCTTCTCTGGAATCAGAATAGCAGTAACCAGACCAAATTTTGCAGGACTACCACCAACCTCTCCAATGCCATACATATACTGGAATGGTCAACTCCAGCCACATTTCCCAAGGATGGGATAGCAGAAAGCCCTCCTCACAGATGGCCCACTGAGGCCCCAGTTCTGGTTCTTTGAAACATGGCAGCTACAGGTCACAAGTCTCCAGATGTCTGAAATTCCTCACGAAGGGTTTCACGGTCAGGGGGACGGATCCAGCCCAAACAGGTTTCTAAGTACAGGGGGAGGGACCTGAAAGCAAAAAGGGTGATGTCTAAGGGAGGATAGGCAGAAGATCACTCCCTTAATTCACCACCACCCCCAATAGGCCTAAGGACTCTAGAAGCCAGCTGCCCCCTTAACCTCACCATGCAGTATTCTCCAGTAGCAACTCAGTTTGGGCCTCCAGCCTCCGCCAGAGAGCAGTGGCCTCATCTCTCCGATCCAGCCTCCTCAGAGTCTGAAGCAGGTGATAGGAAGCATCTTGATTACCTGTAGCCCCACCCCAGAGCACAGGGCCTTAGAACTTGACACAGACTTAAAATCATTTTATAAAAGGGGAAACTAAGGCCTAGAGCAGGGATGTGTGTTGCCTACATGGAATCAGGGGTACATCATTGCCAACAATGCCTAAACCTGGGCACTCCCTGCCCAGGACAAAGGGCTCAGCTGACCCTGCTCCTGCCCAACATACTCTCAGCACAGGCATGGTCTTTGTGTCTGAAGACATTAGGAAGCCTAGAGAACTCCTGGGAGGCCTTCACACATGCGTGTATGTCTTGCATATGTCTGCACAACTGTTACGTATCCCTACATATATACAGGCACAACCCCATCCACCCCTCCTATCAAGGAGCATACTCTTACACTAATCCCCAAGTACCTCCCCCTCTCTGTCCTTACACATCCATGCACAGCTGACGGCCTGCACACGTACCTACCTGGACACATCTGCACACTGAGAAGGAAGTCCTGTAGGGCTTTGGTATCCTGGCCAAGGGCCACCCATTCCAGTCCACGACTAATCAGGGCAGCTGTCCGAAGCTGTTGTAGTGCCATATCTGATGTACACCCCTGCTCACAGCTGGAAGCAGGCCCTGGGGACCTCTCCAAAAATCAAGACATTTGTTTCCAGCCAGACTTTCCCCAAAACCTCAATGCCGTATCTCTTGTGTTCGGAGTCCCTTTCTCTTAAATCTCTTGGTGGACTAGGACACATGGAAAGGAAACCACCACTACCACAGAGGAAAACTAAGTCTAGCTCACCTTGTTCTTCATCCTTAGGTGTGGCCCGGAAGAGCAGCTCAAGACACCTGGAGTGGGACAGAGAGCAGGGATAGAGAAGAGTCAACCTCAGAAACTCTGGGGTGAGTAGACTAAAAATAGAGCTCACCAACTCAGGTCCCAATCACAAAATTATCCCCCCACATTTCCCCTAGGGTCATGGTTGGCTTCCTGGACTCACCGGCTATATTCACTAATTGCCTCCTTTTGGGCCCCCAGTTGCACCCAAGCTTGGCCCTGAAGCAGATGGGTAGCAGAGACCCAGGGTGAGCAGTGTGGTGACTCTTTGGTTCTTCTTCTGGCATCTTCCCACAGCCGAGGCCTCTTGGGAAGCAGAAATGATGTGCGGCTAAGCAGCTCCTCACATACTGTCAAAGCATCCTGGGCTCGGCTTGCCTGGATCAACGCTGCTGCTGCCTCCAAAAACAACTCAGGCATACAGGGCCCTGGGGGGCAAGGTGGTGGGGAGAACTGGGGTGGGAAGAGAATGCAATGCACTGTCTTGAGGAGACATGAACTACTACCTCCAATACCATCACCAGGCTCTAGTATCATGCAGGGACCATCCACTGCTTGCTGCCCTGGATCTCCCTTGCTCTGGGAACCTTCCCAGTCTGGTCTCCCAGAATGGACAGAAAGAAGAGCAGAGGAAAAGTCAGAAAAAAGCACTCCTGCTCTACTCGAAAGGAAACTCCAACTCTCCCACCCCAATACAGAGAAATGTGGCATACCCACCTTTAGCTCTGAGCCATCCAGCAACAGGGCGAGCAGGTCCAGGTAATGTTCTGCAGCGTCCCCTGCCCTGAAGAGTCATAACCCACGAGCCTCACCTTAGGCCATAGCAGGGCCCTCCAAAAGCTCTTAGCTAAGGGCCCTGGGGTGAGGGGAGGGTGAGGTGTGGGACTGCAACACTGGCTCAGTATGGATCTACAGTATTTACAGTCTGGATCTGGGAAAAGACTTTATAGAGTTTTCAAGATATAGGAGGTTAGTGACTGGGTAGAGTCCTCAGCTCAGGTCCAGTAGCAAGGCAGGAAGCTGACTGTGGGACCCGTGTCCCACCCCTGACTTATTTATCCTCTCAACTTGCAAGAACAGAAGTAGTCACACCACAGGGGAGGCATCAGAAGTGGGGAGGGGTGCTCAGGTGAGCAAGATGGACCTCACCTTCCTGTCTGTAGGCATCGGCTTGCTAGCAGGTACTTGGCCTGGCTCTGTGTGCCACAGTGAAGGGGTGAGGCTGGGTCAGGCTGTGGGAGTAATAACTCTACCTCAATAAGAAGCTGATGGACTTCAGGGATACGAGTGATACTCAAAGCCTAATAAAAAGAAGAAAGTATATCTATAATCTCCGGGAACTATACATCCTTCTACTTAAACCTTGACTAGTCACACCAGCACAAGCATCTCAGCATTTCCCGCATCTTCACCTGGCACAGTTCCTTACCTCAACCAGCAGCTCCAGACTCTCAATCTCCGCTGCTGTGTTCCCCAGTTGCTGATATAGCCTGGAGGCCTCCAGAAGCGGGGGACCCCAGGTTGATCCCTCCTTCAGGGCTGCAACCAAGTAGAGCAGAGCTCTCTGCGGACTGCCCTGGGGGTGAAGGACACAAAGGACACGAGCCTCAGCTGCCCTCACAGAGCAGAAAGCTATGGTTTCTCCAGCTCATCCTAGGACAGTCTTTACCATCTTACGAAGACAGGTTCCCAGGGCTGTGTACACCTGGACCAACAGAGACCGTGGGCACAGACCTGAGGCCGCTTCATGCAGGCTGCTCAGTGCCTTGGGCAAGCTCCCTGTGATCAGCTCCTGGAGGCCTGTGGGCAAACAGGATGTAGGCTTAGAGAGGCCAACAAGGCAAGCGGGCCTGATGGGGAAGAGCACAGAGAAGTCCCACCAAACTGAATGGTACATGACAGGAAAGACATGAGCCTAGAGGACTTCTTAAGACAGGAAGTGGAGGGCAAGGGACAAGTCAGATTGCTAACTGGCCTTGACGATAGGCAAATGCTGTCAGAAGGACATCCCTCAAGCCTCGGGCATCCTGCAGGGTCAGCGGAGCATCTGACTCCTCAGCTGGGGGTCTCCAAGTTTTCAGAAGCAGCAGCACATCCTCAGAGGCCCTGATCTGGGGAAGAAGGATGATGAGAGGTTCCAGGCTTGTAACTACCCCTTCTGTATCTCAGTCTGCCCTGACTGGACTTTAAACTCAAGGATCCTCTTGATTCTTGTTCCCTCATTTCTAAGAGATTAATAGCTGTGGGGAAAGGATACAGGTAGGAAAAAAAATCTGGGGCAGTGATGATCTTGAGTCTTCTCACTCAGGGTAAGTCCACAAGGACACACAGCAGGGATCATATTTGGGTTACTGATGCAAAGACTGAAGCAGGGAAGTGACTTCAGCAAGGTCACAAGAGCCCTAATTCTACCCAAGATAATCAAGCTCCCAAGAAAATCCCTCCAATGAGGAATAAATCAGAGCAAGGTCACCTAAGAGTCCTGAGAGAACCAGGGTCTTCTGAACACCAACCCAGCAGCCTTTCCAGCACATAATGATGATACTGCAGCTAGGAAGGGTGGGAGGAGGAAAGAGACCCTTTGATCCAGATCACTATCTGAATTACCTGGCTAACAGTCAGTGTCTGCAGCAGCAAGGCCAGGTCCCCAAGACGGTTCGTGGTCAGCCAGAGGGCAGCCTGCAGGCCGGCAAGGTGGTGAAGGGCAGGGAGCAGCTCCGGCAGGAGGGAGGAAACACGGAGGGTGGAGTCCCACAGCCCCCTGAGCCCGTGTTCCGGCCTGGCTTCCGGCTGCCCCTGCATCTCCAGCACTGTAGACACACACATAGAGCTGAGATGCAGCCTCATCTGGCTTTCCCTCTCTCCAGGAGCCCAAAGGTCACAAAGGTGCTCCTGGTCTGAGGGACACATGGAGGGTCAAAGAAGGGCATCTCTGTGGAGGTGACAGATTATGTTGTTCCTCCTATCCCCCCTGCAAGAACTTAAGCCCAGACTGAGGCTGGCAGGGGCACGGAAGGCAATCTCTGGCCCTCACCTCTCTCTAGGCCCTGCTGGATATCCTGTGCCAGGTCCTCAGTGAAACCCTGGGCCAGGTTTGCCCTCAGGGTAATAAAGTTGCAGATGACAGTCAGTTCCAAAGGGAGAACAGAAACAGTCGCGGGGAGCCCTGGAGCAACAAACGCTGATCTCACAGACCACTCTCGGGTGAAAGAGATCACCCCACCCCAACCAAAATGGCCTCAATAAAGAACCCACTCTGGTAGATTATAGAACGGCCAGAATGTTTTCCAAATAGGCCATCTTGGAAACTGCTTTTTCAAGTGTGTGTGTGTGTGTGTGTGTGTGTGTGTGTGTGTGTGTGTAATGGAACAGCCAGAATGCTTTCCAAACCTGTGTGTGTGTGTGTGTGTGTGTGTGTGTAATGGAACAGCCAGAATGCTTTCCAAATAGACCACCTTGGAAACCGCTTTTTCAAATGCTTCTGTGTGTGTGTGTGTGTGTGTGTGTGTGTGTGTGTGTGTGTGTAATGGAACAGCCAGAATGCTTTCCAAATAGACCACCTTGGAAACCGCTTTTTCAAATGCTTCTGTGTGTGTGTGTGTGTGTGTGTGTGTAAGGGAGAGATCCACCTGTACAAAGATGATTCCATTCCAGTCCTGTCTGTGTCTTAAACAGGACCCCTTACCCCCTAAGTAATCGCCGCAATTCCAGACATGCAGAAGAGGAACTGGTCTCTGGCTGCGGAGGGAGGAGTAACCATCCTGGGGAAGGCCCTACTTACCCCGCAGACTACAGAGGAGTCCCCTGAGCCCTTCCAGTGCATCCCGAGCCAACTGCTGTCGCCTCAGAGGCAGACTTGAGTTCTCAGCAACCTGTCAATTGTGGGATGGGGTAACAGTACTTTCCTTGCAGCTGTGGCAAGAGGTGTCATTCTTCCAGCCATCTCTGGTTCTTTAGGGGAGGTCAAGCTCAGCCCCTCCCCACTGGCCAGAGTAAATCCACTGCATACCCTCGTCCTGGTATCTGGGGGTTGCAAAGCAAGGGTCCCAGCAACCGCGTTACCTTGGCCTGTCGAACTAGCTGGTCATTCTTTTCCCTCCACAGGTCCAGGCAGCTGACGTGTGAGGCTGAAGAGCCCAGAGTCTTGTGAGCCATGATAGCCAAGGCTGGGCCCAGACACCTGAAGGGGGCTGCTGAAGGGTCAGCCTGGCCCCTCTGAAGCCCCCACTGAGCAAGGAAGAAAGGGTTCGTGCACTTCTGCTCCGGGCCAAGAATCCTTTGCTGTTCGCGGGGTTCCAGCCAGGACGGCCTACCTTTTCCGGGAGAAACGGACTCTCCCCTGCTTGGCGGGGATTCCACCTCCGCCTTTCACCCGCGCTTCTGGTTGGCCCGGTTGGCAAAATGCTAAGGCGCCGGTTGGTCGTCTTCAAGGGTTACTTACTCCTCGCGGGAAATTGAAAGAAGGGGCCAGACCAGAGGCGGGAGGCGTGTCTGAGTGGGGGAGCTCGTAGGGCTCGCCGTCCCGCTGTTCAGCCATCGAGGCTGCCAAAGCCTTGGGAAGTTGACCTCAAACACCCGGAACCCGCGGCGAAGCCCTTCCCTCCCAGCCAAAGGCCCACACGGGCCGGGAACCTCCCCCGCCGCGGCAGGCTGGCCCGCCCTATGCATGCTGGGAGTTGTAGTACCAGTGGGAGCCGCCAGGAAAAGTCCAGCCCCAGAAGTCTCTTCAAAAAGTGCGGACCAGGACTTCCTGGTGGTCCATTGGTTGAGCTCCCCAATACGGCGATCACGGTTCGATCCCTGATGGAGGAGGATCCCGCATTCCTCGGGGCAACTAAGCCCCGGAGCCACAACTACTGATTCTGCCAGCTGCAACAAGAGAAGTCACCCAAGGAGAAGCCCACCCACCACAAGGAAGCGTAGCCCTGCTCCTGGCAACTAGAGAAAGTTTAGGTGCAGCACCAAAGACCTAGCACAGTCATAAGTTAAATAAAGGAGAACGACCGGAGACGGAGACCCTTGGTAATCAGCACATCCTATCACCATGAAGCACCAGCATGCTCACCAGTCTGTTCAACCACATGCGGTCCGACTGGTTGGCAGCGCAGCCCCACGCCTGTGCCCCCTGCACTGCTCAGATGTACCTGCCCAATCCTCAACAAATGGAGGCAACAGAACTGGAGCTCCACATGCAAAGAAAAAACAGACTGCGACCCTTGCCATCTACACAGTCAACTAAAACTGGATAAACTGGACTCGAATAAAATTAAAACCTCTTCTGCCACAAAGACACCATCAAAGATGTAAGTCAAACCATTTTGCTGTACACCTTAAACAGTGATGTCAATTATATCTCAGTAAAACTGGGGGAAAAATTCAGAGATGATTTCTCAATAGAAAAGAAATACAAGAAAAGTCAAAGAAAAGTCACAAAGTGGGAGAAATTATTTGCAAATCATATACCTCATCTCTTCAAGTGGTCTCATCTCTTCCTGTTCTGGGTACCCTCAAACCCCAGTGCTGACCCTTCTCCTCAGAAACCGCTTTCCCATTTTTTGAGTGGACATTTCCATGAGGATTTCATGCCAGCACTTTAACACAACATAGAGGGGCGCCGGAGACACCTGAGGATCTTCAGATTCATACGGTTTTGGCCCCAAGTCAGGAATAATCAATGGGACAAGGTGTGTGAGATGGGCAAGCAGGTCTGCTCCAGGGAGGCCTCCACAGGAGAGAGGGCAGAGAGTGTTCTGAAGTGAGCACACACCGAGGATCACAGCATTCCTGGGGCTTCAGACAGTGAGCCTGTGCCCCGTGACACGGCTCTGTCATCGGCCAAAGCAAAAGAATTTAGTAAGATACATCCCATGGCAAGGGAAATTGCAGGTGGAAAAACAGTGGTGATTTGCAAAGAGTTAGGAGAAGTGAATTCAGACAACTCCAACCACTTCTCAAAGGGTCTGAGATGCAGCCAGGTCTGTGTAAGACAGCTGATCCCATCTGTGCCTGGATAAGGGAGACAGAACTTCCTCATATTCCCTATAGGACAGTCGGGGCTTCCCCACACCTCAGACACATATATTTACATTATTATTTTATTCCACTTTGGAGACTGCCCCTCAGTTCCTCAGATGTATCCAATGCAGGAGTCAGGAATTAGGCTCCACTATGATCTTGAATTATAAAATAATGAAGTCCCAGATGTCAGTAGGTCCTGGCTGCATGGCGGTAAGAGGTGTGGCTGAGCTTCTCTTGCAGATGATCCAGCACCCGTATAGACCAGGCTAGATTTTTCTCCAGCTTTCTGCTGGGTCAGAACTAACTGCCTGAACCAGGAGCTCACAGCACCATCTACTCGCATCACCAAAGCTATGCCTAGACAAAGTCCCACGCTGCTCACAATGAAGCCCACGGCCTCAAAAATGAACCTGCAAAGAAAGGTAGAGAATCTCAAAGGACACAAACAGTAGATCTAGAGTCTTTTCCCCACTGAGGCAAAACCTTGTCCATTCTGGATGTTCATTGTTTGCTCCAAGGTTCACCCTCCCCACAGCAACATTTCTCAAGCAGATCCACTCACTTAGGGGCAAACACCTTCCAGACCAAGAGATGCCTGCGGAGGATGGAGGCTGCCAAGGCACAGGCCAGAATCTGAGGGAAGAGAGGAGGCATCAAGTCATTTGGGAAGGGGGGGAGGAAGCGGGCCAAGCAGAGAGTTGCTGTAGACCCCTGCGAAGAATGGAAGGGGAAGGGAAGCAGTACCTGTCAGTGAAGAACTCTGGGCTAAGAGTTAGGAAACCTAATTCTTTTCTTGGCCCTACTATGACTTGCAGTGTGACCGTGGACAAGCACTATTCATCTGTGTCTCTTAACACTCAGGCTCGGCCTCTCAGGGTGGAGGGAATGTCAAGAGTCACACACTCTGCCTCTGAACGAAAGGAAGATTAATTATCATAGCTTGGGCAAGAATCCTGACCATCACCTCAGCTTTTCCAGTCTGTCCAATAGAGTAATCCCCAAATGCAACCATGAAGTCCAGATCTAGCCTGTAGAGAGGAAACAATCCAAGACTAGGATGGAGACCTAGGTTCAAGTCTCAGTATTGCCATTTGAGGTCACTGGCCTTTGGGTAATCACTTCACTTATCTAAGTCTCAGTCAAGGCTCTCTCCTAGGGTTTTGGCAAAGTGTGAAAGAAGGCGATGTCCACGCATGTGAGAAGATCACTCACTCCATGATCTGCCTCTGGCACCCACCTGAACACCGAGGACAAAGAGGTACTTGAGGCCCAGCTGCAGCAGTGCTGCACTGAAGTGGCGAGGTGCATCCCGGAGCCGCATCTCCATCAGTGGCTCCTGCTCCGCCTCAGGCCGGACTCTGGCCTCAGCTTCATTTCCTGGGGGCTGCCGCCTCTTCCGGGATCCTTGATTCTCACACAGAAAGGGCCAGAGCAGGAGCAACGGGCAACCTACTGCCTCAGAGAAAGGCAGGGCTAGAATCAAAGGAAGACCCATGGACCAGGTGATCCTGTCCCCCACGTACTCTAGCTGGCTCAGCCTCCAATCAGCACAGGCCAAGGGGTGCCAAAGATCTAACAAAATAATCTTTCCCTACTCAAATGCAGGGGCTTCCTTTCCTTCCACAAAGCCACAGTGGAAGCAAGGGAGGAATGAGGAGGTACCTGCAAAGAGAATATGGGAGGCAAAGGTGTTGGCTCCCACCAGGAAAGCAGACAGCCAGGTAAAGTCACGACTCTCTGAGACTCCCACGAAGGCTGCGTGCCATTGGATGGCGGAAAAGACAGGCTGGTGGCCGGTGGTATAGAAGGTCTGTGCGGCCGTGAGGGCCCACGCAAAGACGGCATGCCACGGCACTGTGAAAGGACCTGGGGGGACAGATATGCCTCTTTACAGTCACGTCCCACTCCCTACCCCACAGCCCACTGCCCCGAGACCACACACAACGACCGCCTCAGTGCTAAGTCTCCTACACACACGCATCCCCAACACCCCAACCTTCTAATGATCAACACTCTGTTATTCGAATTCCCTCACTGGCACAAAACCCCACCGCTCTAATCTGTGGGCAACTTCTTTCTCTCATATACACACAGTTCACTATCTCTCATCACTGGAAAATCAGGAAATGCACTCATGAGGATGCAGCATTTCCATAAAAACTGAGTCTTAGAGTACTGTGTGTCTATCTCCTCCATGAATTCTGCTGGCCCTGAAAGTCAACTGGGAGGGTTCAGTTAGCTTGGCCACAGCAGATGAGAGAGAGGCCATCAGGAAGACCCTCTTGCCTGGGGGGTGAGACCCTGCATCAAGGTGAAGATCCTGAGGAGCAACTCCTCCCTAAAGACAAGAGGGGCCGAACTTACATCCCTACTGTCCGTGGATGAGTCAGGGCTGAGACATGTATTTACCAGGGGTGGTGATGGGTATCCCGGCAGCAAGCAGATGCAGGAGAAGGAAGCTCTGCAGAAACAGAAGCAGGAACACAAGGCTAATGCGCTCTGCATGCAATAGCAGAAGTGGGAAGGCCAAGAGAGTGAGGGCCGTGACCACAGCAGCTGAGTAGACACTCCCCAACTGATAGGCGGCCACCGTCAGCAGACCCTGAGATTTGGTCCTCTCTAGCCGGCCCCGGAACTCCTCTTGCATGTGTCGGTAGATTTGAGGAACCATGTAATCCAGGTCAGCCTGAGAAGTGGGGGGGCCTGAGAAGGGAGTGACGACTGTCCTGGCCCTTGGAGCACCTGCTGTGGCCTTCACCAGCACCGTCACAGGCCTCCAGAGCAGCAGCAGGAGCCCTGAGGCGGCCAACCCTGCCACGGCCCGAGGCAACATAACTGACGCCCCAGAGACCAGGGCCCGGAGACGGGGCGGTGCTTCATCTGCCCCTGATGCCAATGCCCAGTAGGCGGCAGTGCCCAGCCCCATGAGGGGCAGCCCCCAGCGCACAAAGAGCACGGGGGGCTCAGGGCTCTTGAGATTACCATAGCAGCGAAGCCACAGCCGCACCGAGGCTAACAGGGCCACCAGCGCCCCGACACAAGCTCCGTACCACAAATTCTTGGCTCGACCGCCCACTGTGGATCGCAAGGGATTCAGCAAGGGAGAGGAGCTGCAAACAGGTGTCTCCTCATGGCAGCGATAAAAAAGTCCTGCTAGCCTTATACATAAAAGCAACCCAACTCCAAGTCCCACGGCATGCATGGCACTGTATTGCGGGGGGCCTGTTGGAGTCAAAAAGCCAAGGCGAGGCATCGAGAGTAGCTTAGGTGGCAGCAGTCTGCCCTCCCAGTGCAGTCGGGCAACCAGGAGCAAGATGAGTGAGATCAAAAGGAAGGGGGCAACCCTGGCCTCGGTTATAATATAGCTATCGGAGAAGAAACCCGCAAAGCGAAGGAGCAGGAGTAACAGGACTGGCCCGGGCATGGGAAGGAGAGATGCCAGGGGCCTTCTCGAGCCCCAGCTCGCCCAAGCTTTCCACAGAAAAGGCAGGAGCGAGCCCACTGCAGCCATGGCCCCTGCAACCACGAAATCCAGCTTCAGCCCAGTGGATGCCAGGAGTCCAGCACACACCATGGCCCCGCTCAGACCCGAGGCCATGGGTTTTAGGAGAGGGCCGAAATAGAAGGCTGGGGATGCTGCCCACTGGGATACCAGTAGGCAAAGAAAGCAGGTAGCAGCCAAAAGAGCAGCACCCCCTGCCATGCGGACCAGAGAAAAACGAGCCCAAGACTCAATGCACATGGCCCGAACTCCCCGCAGGAACTGCTGCAGCTCAGGAATCACATTCTGGAGCGCTGCCTCGGCCCCCTGGGGGCTCTGCCGATGTCGCTGGTAGTCAGCAGAAGCCTTGGAGAAGAGCTTCTGCAATCGATGCAGCTTCTGTACTTGAAGGTCCTGAGCAGTGGCTGAGTAGGTGTGAAGAAATCGAGACACCTGGCAAAAAAGATCAGGGGCCAAGGGGAGAAGCTCAGAGACATAAATTGGGACATGGGCAAAGACAGGTACTACCAGAGGGTACCTGGAAATCAGGAACCCAAAATCTCTCTAGGACAGAGGGAGAGGGAGGACATGGCTATGGAATGTGTGATTAAGACTGAACAAGGGATAACCAAGTGGGTCATTATGTTTCTCCCATGCCCAACCTAACTCTGTCACCTGGAAGCCCAGCCCATTACTTACCTGCTGGGCATTGAGATGCAGAGCTGAGGCTTGGGCCAGAGCAGAGAAGCGAGGCTGGGAGTCTTCAATCTCTGAGAACACCTCAGCTATCACCTCCCCGATGTTTCCAAATGGGATGGGCAGGCCCAGCAGCAGGGCCAGCGTAGGCACAAGGCTGATCTGAGGAATTATCTCTGGCTTCTAGAGAACAAGGACAGGGGTCAACAGGTTCACCAAAGAGGTGAGGTCTGGGGACTTCCAGGTCCAGTGGTTAAGACTCTGTGATTCTACCGCAGGGAGAATAGGTTCGATCCTTGGTTGGTGAACTAAGATCCCTCATGCCATGTAGAGAAGCCAAAAAAAAAGAGAGGTAAGGTCAGTGTTTGGGGTGGAAGACATAGGGGACTTAGGCAGGAAACAAGAGTGGAGGATGCCCAGGGTCATGAATTTGGGGGATTAAAATGGAGGGATCCACAAGAATGCTATGATCATGATGTAAGTTGAATAGCAGGAAACCACACAAAGCACATCTTAGGACTTACCTCTGCAGGAGCGCTGGGGAAGAGAGCTCTGGGACTATATAGAAAAAGTGCAACTGAGGTTTCCAGCTCACTCTCTCCTCCATGGTTCCCACTGATGGTCATCCCATGGTCCCCAGTCACGACCAGCAGTGTGTCATTCTTCAGACGCTTCACAAGTCCCCTGGGGGGATCAAGAAATGTGTCAGGAGGTAGGGAGAGGTAAATATTTTTTTCAGGGCCCATGTACCCCCAGCCATAACTTCCATTAGTGGGGCCTAGACATCTGGCAGAAAGACACCTCTTCAGTCACAACCCTACTGCCCAAAACCACACACTGAGTTACTCAAAATGGATGAGACCCCCTAGTGTCAAAGAAAGGCCTAAAGACAGAATTCAACCAAGAAAGGGACCCCAAATATGGATTTTTTTCTTTTGGGACCACATATCATCTCAGACACAAACCCACTCCCCCAGCCAAAATCCCACACTCACTGGATCATTTTATCCATTTGGGTAAGTTTCTTAGCCATTTCAGGATGGTAAGGGTCATGCTTGTGGCCACAGTGATCCACACCCAGGAAGTGAGTAATCAGCACGTCCCATTTGTCACTGTCCACTGTGAAGGAGAGAACCTAAGCACATGGGATTAAGGCTCACTCTTCAACCCCAGCCAGGCTCTGATATTCCTATGTCCAGAGACAGAGGCCCAGGCCACTGCACCCATGGTAGGTTCAGAATTTGTAACTGACACAGCCCTCCCCACCGCCCAGTCTTGATCAGGCCTGCCTCGGACCCCGTGCTCACTGGTTGGGTAGAGGTGTTTCAGGATGCCATTGTCCACTGTCTCTAGGTCTCTGACATTGAAGGATGGGAAGAATAAAGCTTGGGAGAAAACTCCAGGGAAAAGATCATTCCAGGTTTCATCTCCCATGAAGACCACACGTCTTCCTGCACGGACATAGGAGTCAGGGGAGGAGGAAGAAGAGAGGCCTTTTAAAGATCTATCGGAATTCCCAACCGTGCACTCTAAGGCACAGCAATTCATTCAACAACTCTTTATCCTTCGAGACCTACCATTTTCCTACCTTTCGAGACCTTCCTTTCCTACCAGGGAAAGGAAGCTTTCCCTGACAACAATACTCCACCCAGATCTCTTACTACTTGCTCCTATTAAAGGCTCTGCTAGTCCTCAGACCCTGGCTCTATCTTGGCTGTTCTGTTTTTCCTGGGTGCATCCTGCTTTTTCCCAGTCAATGAGTGGACAGGGCCTGGATCCTCTGCTTTCTCCTCCACACTCTGTGAGGATACCAGACCCACAACTCTTCATTTCTCCCATGCCCCTTGAGCAAGAGCTCCCCAAAAGTAAAACCAATACCCCATGCAGATTAGCAGCTCCAGGACACAGCCTGCACCTGTACTCCCTGCATGCAGGGCTGCGGTCGCTTTCTCCTTCCTGTACTAGCTAGTCAAACATGCAGCTGGGCACCCAAAGTTCTGATTCTCTGACGTCTAAAGAAATTTGCCAAGGTACTGCTGGCCTCCAAGGAGGACTAACCTGTACTGGAAAGCTGCTTAATGAGATTATCTTCCACTATGGCGCTGCTGGCAAAATTACTGCCAGCATCAATAAAGGTAGGCAGTGAACCGGTGGTTAAGGCCTTGAGGCGCTGCATGGTGGTGGTCGGGGGGTCAGCCTTGGCTTGGTAGAGCCTGGCATGGTGGGGCTGACTTTCCAGGAGTCTCTGCAAGAAGCCCATTTTACCCAGGAAAGGCAGGGAGACAGGAGGCTCCCCAGACACAGGTGAGCGCTGCGGCTGGGCAAAGTCAAATCGCAGAGCATCTATCACCACCAACACGAGCCGAGAGAATCGGGAAGCCATCCAGCAGGCTCCAGGTTCCCCTCGGCCCCCCCATGGCAGGGCTCCAGGACCTGGGGGCTCTTGACAGCTGCTATGGTTGGTGAGCTCCCAGCGGGTGAGCAGGAAGCCACTGGTGAAGAGAGCAATGCCGGCGTAGAAGAGGAAGCTCACCCAGGCCAGGAAAAGCAGCACTGAGATCTTCTGCATCCTGGTAGTGGCAGGAGAGGGAATTCATAACTGTGAGGCAAAGAACCAGTAGATATTCTAGTCTCTCAGTACAAAGCCCTGTTAGAATCACTTCCTCTTGGAAGCTCTTCTGAAGATAAACAGTTCCATAGCCAACCCAATGCAGTGGTCCTCTCCATCAGTTATACGAGAGTTTCTGAAAGTGAGGTGTGCAGACTACTGGCATCAACCTGGAGTGGGTGTTTGTAAAATGCTGACTTTCAGACTTCCTTGATGGTCCAGTGCTCAAGAATCCACGTGCCAACACAGGGGACACGGGTGGGATCCCTGGTCGGGAGAAATTCCACACGCCCGTGCACCGCAACGCATGAGCTGGACTCTAGAGCCCAGTGCTCCATAACAAGAGAAGCCACCACAATGAGACCAGGCACTGCAAGGAAGAGCAGCCCCCACTCACTCCAAGGAGAGAAAGCCCACGCAAAGCCAGGAAGACACAGGGCAGCCAAAAGTAAAAATAAATTAAAAACGTCACCCGAGATCCCCGGAATCAGGATCTGTGAGGGTGGAGCATAAGAATTTGTATATGGACGTCAGGAGGTCCTAACGATGGAAAACACAATCCAGAGGAAACTTATTCCAAGTGGTAGACTGCTTTCCAATAGCCCGCTTGTCCTCTCTGCTCGCCAATTTCAACACCCCTGGGGTGGCCAAGGCTCGCAGCTACAGGGGAATCCTGGCCAGGCTGACGGCGCCGCCTGGCGGGGACTTGGGAGTCGAGCTCCGCTTCCGGACACCCAGGATAACCAGACCAGAGCGCGACCTCCCGGGCTCAGCAGGACAGAGGCGCGAGGTCTCAAGGCGGTTGGGCCTCGCTGGGACCCAGACGTCCAGATGGCCTTGCCTCACCGATGGCTGTCCGGCCTCCGGCTGGACACCCTGACCGGGTACTGGGCCCGCCAGACTGAGAGCTCTGTGAGTGGGGTAGGAGCGTCCCTAATTTATGGGAAAAGCAAGAGTAAGAGGGTTTGGGAGCCCCTGCCTCACCTTGAATGGCGCCCGGAAGTGCAGCGACGGCGCCTGCGGCCCGGCACCACAGAGGTGCGTGCGGCGGATAGAGCGACCCACAGGGGTCTTCGTCGCCATCTGCTGGCCCTCCGAGGAAGTTCGGCAAGGAACGCACGGCTGGCCTGAGGAGTTTAATGGGCGAGTACAGTAATTTAGAATCCGGGGCAAGGCATTAAGCTAGAAGAGTTGAGGGAACCACTGTCCATTCTTGGTTAACACTAAGATCTAGGCTTCTGAAGCCAAACTTAGCTTGAATCCTCGCTCTGCCACTCACTGTCATTATTGGACATTACCTCGTCTGTAAAATAGGGATACTATTTATTTCCCCTTTTTTGCCAAGCTGACTCCAAATGATAGCTTTTATTATTCATCCTTATCAAGTTTTTCACTGAGTCTTAGTAATAAGATTACTGAATCTCAGTAATAAAAAGACAATCAATTCAAAAATGAGCAAAGGATCTGAATAGACATTTCTCCAAAGAAGATACATGAATGACCAATTAACACATTAGAAGATGCTCAGTATTATTAGCCATCAGCAAAATGTTGGAGATATCACTTCAAACCCAGGAGGATAGCTATAACAAGTATTGGTATAGGTGTGAAGAAAGTTCAGTTCAGTTGCTCAGTAGTGTCCAACTCTTTGTGACCCCATGAACCACAGCACGCCAGGACTCCCTGTCCATCACCAACTCCCGGAGTTTACCCAAACTCATATCCATTGAGTCGGTGATGCCATCTAACCATCTCATCCTCTGTTGTCCCTTTCTCCTCCTGCCTTCAATCTTTGCCAGCATCAGGGTCTTTTCAAATGAGTCAGCTCTTCACATCAGGTGGCCAAAATATTGGAGTTTCAGCTTCAGCATCAGTCCTTCCAGTGAACACCCAGGACTGATCTCCTTTAGGATGGACTGCTTGGATCTCCTTGCAGTCCAAGGGACTCTCAAAAGTCTTCAGCACCACAGTTCAAAAGCATCAATTCTTTGGCGCTCAGCTTTCTTTATAGTCCAACTCTCACATCCATACATGACTACTGGAAAAACCATAGCCTTGGCTAGACGGATCTTTGTTGACAAAGTAATGTCTCTGCTTTTTAATATGCTGTCTAGGTTGGTCATAACTTTCCTTCCAAGGAGTAAGCGTTTTTAAATTTCATGGCTGCAATCACCATCTGCAGTGATTTTGGAGCCCAAAAAAGTAAAGTCAGCCACTGTGCCCACTGTTTCCCCACCTATTTGCCATGAAGTGATGGGACCGGATGCCATGATCTTAGTTTTCTGAATGTTGAGCTTTAAGCCAACTTTTTCACTCTCCTCTTTCACCTTCATCAAGAGGCTCTTTAGTTCTTCTTCACTTTCTGCCATAAGGGTGGTGTCATCTGCATATCTGAGGTTATTGATATTTCTCCAGACTATCTTGATTCCAGCTTGTGCTTCCTCCAGCCCAGCGTTTCTCATGATGTACTCTGCATGTAAGTTAAATAAACAGGGTGACAGTATACAGCCTTGACGTACTCCTTTTCCTGTTTGGAACCAGTCTGTTGTTCCACGTCCAGTTCTAACTGTTGCTTCCTGACCTGCATACAGATTTCTCAAGAGGGAGGTCAGGTGGTCTGGTATTCCCATCTCTTGAAGAATTTTCCACTGTTTATTGTAATCCACACAGTCAAAGGCTTTGGCATAGTCAATAAAGCAGAAGTAGATGTTTTTCTGGAACTCTCTTGCTTTTTTGATGATCCAGCAGATGTTGGCAATTCGATCTCTGGTTCCTCTGCCTTTTCTAAACCCAGCTTGAACATCTGGAAGTTCACAGTTCACATATTGCTGAAGCCTGGCTTGGAGAATTTTGAGCATTACTTTACTAGCATGTGAGATGAGTGCAATTGTGCGGTAGTTTGAGCATTCTTTGGCACTGCCTTTCTTTGGGATTGGAATGAAAACTGACCTTGTCCAGTCCTGTGGCCACTGCTGAGTTTTCCAAATTTGCTGACATATTGAGTGCAGCACTTTCACAGCATCATCTTTTAGGATTTGAAATAGCTCAACTGGAATTCCATCACCTCCACTAGCTTTGTAGTGATACTTCCTAAGGCCCACTTGACTTCCCATTCCAGGATGTCTGGCTCTAGGTGAGTGATCACACCATCATGATTATTTGGGTCATGAAGATCTTTTTTGTACAGTTCTTCTGTGTATTCTTGCCACCTCTTCTTAATATCTTCTGCTTCTGTAAGGTCCATACCATTTCTGTCCTTTATTGAGCCCATCTTTGCATGAAATGTTCCCTTGGTATCTCTAATTTTCTTGAAGAGATCTCTAGTCTTTCCTGTTCTATTGTTTTCCTCTATTTCTTTGCATTGATCGCTGAGGAAGGCTTTCTTATCTCTCCTTGCTATTCTTTGGAACTCTGCATTCAAATGGGTATATCTTTTCTTTTCTCCTTTACTTTTCATTTCTCTTTTTTTCACAGCTATTTGTAAGGCCTCCTCAGACAGTCATTTTGCTTTTTTTGCATTTCTTTTTCTTGGGAATGGTCTTGATCCCTGTCTTCTATACAATGTCAGGAACCTCTGTCCATAGTTCATCAGGCACTCTATCAGATCTAGTCCCTTAAATCTATTTCTCACTTCCACTGTATAATCGTAAGAGGTTTGATTTAGGTCATACCTGAATGGTCCAACTGCTGTTGGAAATGTAAAATGATACATCAGCTTTCGAAAAATTTGGCAGTTCTTCAAAAGGTTAAACAGAGTTACCATATAACCCAGCAATTCCACTCATAGGTATATACCCAAGGGAAATGAAAAACATATGGCCACGCAAAAACTTGCACATGAAGGTTCCCAATAGCCTTATCATAATAGCCAAAGGGTAAAAACAACCCAAATGGCCTTCACTGATGAATGGATGAACAAAATATGCTATATCTATACAGTAAAAAAAAAGAGTGATAAAGTACTACAAGTAGCTACATGCTGCTACATGAATGAACCTTAAAAACATGCTAAGTAGAAAAAGCCAATCACAAAATAGCACATATTATTCCATTTATAAGAATACATAAAGCTATAGACGCAGAAATAAAATTAGTGGTTGTCTAGGGCTGAGGGGAGAGAGGACTGACTACTGATGGGTACCAGGGTTTTGTGGCAGGGTGGGAATGGGAGAGCAGTGATGAAAATGTTCTGGATTATGACAGTTGCACACTGTGTGAATATATTACAGATTATTGCATTTACACTTGACACAGGTGCATTGCAGTGTATGTGAATCATCTCAGAAAAACTACCATTTAAAACAAAGCAGAAAACCTCTCCAGTCGTTTCTCATCTCAGAGTTGAGCCCAGATTATTTCAGTGGCCCTACCAGTCTACATACCATCTCCCCACCTCCTTATCCGATTCATCTAGCTGCCCTTTATTTCCTGAAGTCTGTTCCATCCACCGTAGCTCCTTAGCTCTCCCCAGTAAGGCAGCCGTTCTCTGCCTTACGTGTGTCTGCAATCTCCTATTAGCTTTACTCCCAGATGGCCAAGTGTATCTTCCCCTCATCTCCACATCTAAGCTTAAATGCACCATCAGCGAGGGTTCCTGCAACACTCTCCTTAATGTTACAGCCCCATCAAGTTCCCCATCTCCCTTCCTTTAATTTCCTCTGTAGCACAACTCATCAGCACCTTTATTAACGATTTGTCCCTTCCAAATAGAATGTAAGTTCATTGAGAGTAGGAAATTTTATTACTGTATCCTCTGTTCCTGGCATATAGTTGGAATTCAATAAGTAGTTATTAAATGGATAAATAAATTCTAATTCAGAAATATGTTGAAATATCCCTCTGCCTTCATCCCCAAAGCCCCTTATCTCTGTTCACCCTCTAGGACCACTGAGGCAGCCTCTTACTGTCCTTCCAGCCTCCCATCTCTCTTTCAGATCCCCTGACCACATAGCAGCAGGACAGCTCTATCTAAAACAATGATTACCTTAATCTTCTTAAAATTCTTCATGGGAAGGGGAAAAAACCCTTCATGCCCCCGCATCAGCCTCCCCTCGATAAAAGTCCAAACTTTCAGGACCCTATCTCCCTGAGATTTGGCCTTTGCCACATAGTCACATCCCCTAACACCCCACCCTTCAGCCACAACAAACAACTCTGAATGTTCCAACTTCTCTGGAGCCATAGGTCTTTGCACATCTTAGTCCCAAACCATCATCTGATGAATGCATCAATTTTTGCAGCGTGAGCCCAGTAGCAGGGTTAGTAACCTTGCTGCCCACAGTGGCATGCTCCTCCCCACAGGATCCCTCAGCCAGAACTCTCCTCCACCTCAGCACACATCACTTTGTACCTCAGTCTGCTTCCTGTGAAAACAGGGATGACTGGGTTTGGGTTCTTTTGTAACCTATGTCTAACATTGAGCTTGGCACATGGCAGACATGATTAAATGTTTTTGAATGAACGAGTGTCCTCAGTCCCTGGGGACCGGATGAGCATTGACAGCACTGCTCTACCAGGGAAGTCCTTTCCCTTTAATAAAACCCCAGCACTTGCTCAAATTCACAGCCCCACGCTTAGCAAGAGGGGGGACTACTCTCCCCAGCTGGCAGTTTGGTAGACATATGGCTTAATCCTTCCACTATATCCCACAGCTTCTCCTGAAGACAGGCAGGATGACTGACACGAGGTTCATCCTTATTCACGGAGGAATCGGTCCTCAAGACCTGACGGGACTGGAGGCTGGCAGAGGTCATCCAAGGCAGGCACTGGTGACTTTCCCACCTTCATTCCGCAAGCAAAGAGGACAGTGTTCGGTTTGCCACTGGCCAGTTTATTACATGATTAAAGTTCAAATAAAAAAATAATAACCCAAATCCTGGCAGGGAGGCTCGAGCCAGAGTCTGCCAGCGCTGCTTCCCCGTCTCCCACCTCCCTGCCCAAGCCCAGCTCCATTAACTCAGCTTGACTCGATCAAGCTCCTCATCAAGACTCGCACCCGTGCTCCGGACATCTCTGCTGCTCCTGCTGGAGACTGAGTCCTGGGCTTCCGGTACCGGGGCTTTGGTGAGGGCCCCGTACACGCCCATGGCCTGAGGAGAGGGACAGAGAGCGCAATGAGGACACGTGGCCGGGGGCAGAGCCCAACACACCGATGGCTCCAAGGAAGAAGGGCGAGCTGGGCCAGTAAACTTGGTTTTCCCTTCTCTCTCTTCAGTCTTAAAAGTTTTGGAGTCTGTTCTAGGAATGTTACACACTCCCCAGCGCAGGGTCACCCTCAAAATGCTAATACAGGTATCTGCCAAAAAAGAAAAAAAAAAGGATGTCTCAAGGGGTTCCCTTCCATCTGGGATGAAGGGAGTGTCTCATTCAGGGGGCGCAGAGAGGTGCAGGTCTCAGGGCACTCTAAAAGTCTCTATGGTGAAAGTGATGATGGCGGCGGGACGCTCTTGGTCTCTGGCATGGGTGCTGTGCTGGGTCCTCAGGGCACTCTAACCTGAGCCACCATACTGGTGACGTCGCCGGGGTTGGAGGGCAGCAGGATGGTGTTGGAGTCCTTGGCCAGTTTAGAGAACGCGCTGACGTACTGCTCGGCCACAGTCAGTGAAGCTGCTGCATCTCCGTTCTGTGGCCACAGGGAGGATAAAAATCAGAGATCACAGACTTGGAGAGGAAGAGGGGAAGAAAGTGGAGAGAAATCAGGTTCCTAGAAAGAGGACACGCAAATCACAATACAAGAGATCACAGAATGCAGCTCAATGGAACCAAAAAGGCAGGAATTTCCCCTAGGGTAGAAGAGAGAACACCTTCTATTGCCAAATCCCGGCCGCACTCCCACCCAGGGGCCTCTCACGTGTTGTGTCAGAGCTGCAGCCAGGATGCGAATAGCTTCAGCTTTAGCCTTGGCCTTGGCCAGAACTGCACTAGCCTCTCCTGAAAGAAAAAAAGAAACAGAATTTGATCTATGAGGTCAAAGCTTCTGTCCTTACCGACCTTCAAAGACCCATACCCTGTTCATCCCTCAGCCTCTACCCTCTGCTGACCTGCTGCCTGATTTATTTGTTCAGCCTTTTCTGCCTCGGAGGCCAGGATCTGTGCCTGCTTCTTTCCCTCTGCCACGTTGATGGCTGACTCTCGAGTCCCCTCCGACTCTAGAACTGTGGCCCGTTTCCGCCGCTCTGCCTCCACCTAGAAGCCCCAAGCAGTGAGAAACCAGAGTAAAAGGAAGACCTGACGCTGATCTGCAGTTGGACCCATTTCAGTAGGGAAGAGGGCCCAGGTTTCCCATGCAACTGGAGCCTCCTGAAGCACTCTTCCCCACTGCCCCCGGTCTCCACCTGCATCTGCATGGACTCCTTCACCCGGGGTGGTACATGGATATCCTTGATCTCATAACGGAGGCAGCGGATGCCCCAGCAGTCGGCAGCCTGGTTGATGGCATCCACGATGCTAGCATTGAGGGACTCCCGCTCCTGGAGGACAAGAGGTGGAAGCTCCATGGCCTCAACTCACCTACCAGGAGGCTAGGCGAAGAAGGTCCCGAGACTGATCCCAGAAAGGACTGAGTGCCAGGTATGAGTCTTCAAACCCTAACTCTGGCTCAGATCCCCTTACCCGGAAGACTTTGTCCAGAGAGAGTTTGCCGAGCTCTGATCTCATGGTTGTTTGAGCTAGCTGGGTGACAGCATACTCAGGGTCTTCCACACCATAGCTTGCCTGAAAGGGGCATGGAGACTGTAAGTGGCTTGGGGCAGGATTTTAGGAAGGAGAGCAACTCAGGAGCTGCAAAGGTAGATACCTTGTAGGGGTCCATGATGCGCAGGTAAAGGACTCCATCGATTTGCAGAGTTACATTGTCTGTAGGTGCGGGAGCAGGAGAGAAAGGAGGTCAGGACCCTGAGTTCCCATGAGCTCTTTCTCCTGCCACCATGGCCTGACGGCCTCAGAGAACCCGTGTCACCCGCACCCCTCACCAAGTGTCACAGCAGACTGCTCAGGCACGTTGATGACAATTTCCTTGAGAGACTGCACATATCGGATCCGGTCTAACACAGGGATGAGGATATTCAAGCCCTGGCAAGAGGAGTCACAAGTCTTCAGAAGGACATGGGACTGTAGGGTTGGAGTCCAAGCTAGGCCTGGAGTGGGTAGGCAATCAGTATAGATTCTGCCCAGAAAACAGAAGACTTGGACGACACTGATAGAGGGGAAGGTAAGGGTCGGAATGTCAGGCTGGACCTCTGAAGGGAAGGGAGAATCAAGGGAACAGGAGCCAGCAGAGTAGCCTTCTCCACGCAGACAGGTGGAACTGAGAGGGTGAACAGAAAAGATTCCCAATATGGGGCCTGTGGGATGCTAGGGCAATAGGAAAAGGTGTTAAGATGGGTATGACGGTCAACACTCTGGGCCCTGCCGGGTTTGGCCTAGGGTGTCAGAAACCAAAGGCGAAGGCAGGCCCCACCAAGGTCTCACCCCATCCCCCCATGTCGTGAGGGAATTGGGATTCAGGCTGGCCCGTGGCGGTTCTCACAGGCTCCAGGATCCGGTGGAATCGGCCCATGCGCTCGACCACCCAGGCCTCCTGCTGCGGCACAAACAGGACCACGGTGTTTCGGGGCAATCCTGAGGAGGCGCGGCGCGGGGCGCGGGTACAAGCCTGGACGGAGCCCTGAAGGGAAGAAGAGGATTTGCAGAGGCCCAGCCAGCCAGGCACGCCGCCCCTCTCGGCGCCCGTCCGGGAGTCAAGTTCCTAAACCACGACCCTAAAAGGTTCTCGGAGAGGGACTCATGTGAGTACCACAACCTCCGTTCTCTCCCCAAACATAGAATCTGGCCCATTCCCAGTTGAAAACCCAGGTGATCTCTGGCCTGATCCTTAGAAAAGGATGCCTCACACTCACCTTCAGCAAAAGGGCCCCAGCCCCCCGCGCCGCGCGCGCCAGCATCTCCCACGGCCACAGGGACCTCCGGAACCAACGAGACGCGTAGCAGAGCGGTCGCTCTAGATGTCCGGACCTGAGCCTTTCCTCCCGTATTTCCACCCCCCCGGATGTACTTCCGGTCTTCCTCTTTTCCCCTCCCCTTCCCATACTCAGCCAATCAGGGTTACTTGGCAGAAGCGTGAGTCAAGTTGCTCCGGGTGAGACCCAGATCTCCGGCGACCAAGGCCGGAGGTTCTTGTTTTCTCTGAAGAAGCCCAAACTGCCCAACACAGTGACCAACTGGCGGCTATTTTTCCTGTGTTGGTGGCCCAGAAAAGCCTCCCAGAGTTCTTTACCCCCACTGGAGACTCAGTTTACCCTTCTGAGCGTATAATAGCCCCATCTGTCACCATAGCGACCAGGCGACTGGCGCTGTCTCAGAGCCATGGTTGCCATAGTGACATTCTCTGGTAGTCTTGCTGTGTTGTACCCAGCCTTCCCACTGGGGACTGACCCCATTCCCGTTGCCATGGTGATTGGGCCTAACATTGCCCAGTGATTGGACTGAGATTTCTCCCTCCCCTCTTTTCCCAAGGCACCAAAGCTTTTTCTACCTCTACCCCGTCAGGATCTATTAGGCCAGGTTCCTTTACGCACATAGTCCAGCACAAAGCCCCAACATTCAGCGTTCTCTGGAGCATGTCACCCTGCACACATCTGGCACATAGGGCTTGCATAGTCCCTCATTTTACGTATCAGAGTGCTGAAATTCAGGAGCTAAAATGGTCAGTAGAACCTGTATAAGAATCCAGACCTACATTCAAAGTTCAGCTTTTATGGCAGAACCTTCCCCATCACGCCACCCCATCATGTGAAAAGAACTAGACCAGACCCTAAGAACCATGGGGGTCTCCCCTACACCTCCTGGCCTCACACCTTTTCCCTGGGAAAGGGCAGTTAGGTCCTCCCATACCCATTCCCATGTTGTCCCCAACAGAATAAGTAAGGCTCAGTTCAAGTTTCCAAACAAGAATTTATTCTTTCTTTCTTTCTTTTTTTTTCCTAAAAAAAAAAAAGTACCAGGTGCGATTTTTTTCCTGGGTTGTTCTTTTTTCAAGTTTCAGCAAATGCTTGTTCCCCTCAGCCCAGCCCCAGGCATCAGAGCTAAGGCTGGGTCAGAGTCTAGACTGGGGAATGGGGTAGTTGGTAACTACATGACTGAGTTTGAGGGGTGCCCCTCACCCCAACTGAGGTAGGTGGGTCAGAATCTGGCCAGGAGGGAGGAGGCACCCTAGTCCTTGGCCCTGACTCTGTACCCTGAACACCTTCCTCAGTCAGGACCCCAAAGCAAAGAGACACAGGCAGAAGAAGGAGAGGGACAGCCAGGGTCTAGAGTCCTAGATGTGTGCGCAACTGCATGCACACACTCTCTCTCTCACGTACGTACCACACACACAACACACACATACACACACACACACACACACACACAAACATACACACACACACAAGTTGGCTTTCAGGAGGGGTGAGGTCAGGGAAGTGAAAGGCATTGGGAAGGGTAGGGGAAGCTGAGTCTTTGGCTGGTGACTCAGTTCTTCTGGGATAACTTCTCTGCTCTCAGCTGAGGGAGAACACTTCTCCCACAGCCCCCACATCAGCCTCTTCAACTCCTGAGGTTGGAGCAATATCTGAGAGTGGGAAAGGAGGGGGGCAATGCCAATTATCAGGTTTGGGAGGTTACCAAGGCAATCCAATTTGAATAAATTATAAATTAAAAATAAATAAAATAATAAATGGCCCCTGCCCAGGACAGGGAGGCAATGCTGGCATGACTTGCCTGGGAACTTAGGACAACCTCAGGGTAGCTCCAGTTCCTCCCCACCGTCGCAGCCAGCCTGGGAAATCCAAGGGAGGGGCCGGCACGTGGAGGACCCAGAACAGGGCAGCATGTGGTAAGGTCAGAAGCTTTAAACACCCAAAGGTCAGTTTGGGCATGAGCATGGTGAAGGCTTTAATGCAAGCCTGAGAGGTCTCTCGCCACCTCTCCACGTGTTCACTCTGTCCAGGATGGAGCAGGATGGGCAGGTCTTTGGCCCACAAGGGGTTCAGGGCATTGACAGTCAGGGCAAAGGTGAGTAACGTGGATTGTGAGGGGCCTCGGTCACAGCCTGCAGTTCGTAGGGGAGCCCTGTGTCCAATTCCAGGCTCCGGCGGGAAAAAAGCAGGCGGATGTCGCCATGCAGGCTTAAGCGGCCTGAGCGGGAGCTCCGGAACCTGGGGGAGGACAGGGTGATCAGAGTAAGACTCCAGACTGATGAGAAGTGAGGGGAGATCCTATTCAGGGAGGACATACCTGGGTGGTGGAAAAGACACCTGGGCCTCGTGCCCAGCGACCCGGGGCCCCGTCCTCACCTGAGGTGCAATAAGTAGCAGAGGAGGCGGCGGGCGGGGCCAGCATTCCCCTCCTCACCCACAGGCACCAAAAGGAGGCGGTGGCGCAGGAAGGTCACGTGGGCAGCAGGCATGTCCGAAAAGTCAAAGGTCACGAGGAACATCTTCACCACAGTCTGGTTGGGGTTAAATAAGGTCTGGGGACAGGACAGGCAAGGTTGGTAGGGTCGAGGGGATGTTTTCCACTCCCCACTCCCACTCCCCCTCAGGGAAAACTCACCACTTGGATGGTGCCCACCTTGGGCACGCTGTAACCCTTCCTCCCCAGGGGACTCAGGTCCACGACGCCCTGGGAAGGCCAAGGAGTTATCAGTCAAGTAGGGTGTGGGAGATCCCAGACCACTCATCCATCTCCCTAGTCTCTCATCCCGGGACTTGGCCCCTGCCCCATACAAGAGTTCTCTCCCACTAGGCCCTGACTCTCTTAGGTAAGAACATCTCAAGAATCCCTCCAGAGCAGTTCAACTACTGCGCTACACCTGAGTGCCTTTTCCCAATAAAGTCTTTTGCATTGTCAGTTGAAAAAAAAAAAAAGTATACCTCCTGCCTCTAACCCTTCATGCCCTTTGGGTTGAGGTCAGGTCATACCAGGAAGGGAGCCGGGGCATTTTGCTCAGAAACATCAAAGAAGGTGACAGTGACAGGCAGCGTGACATGCTGAGGGCAGTAGGATCCACTAGCTCCGATCTCTGCCGTGAAGCCCTCAATGTGGCCGGATGGTGCAAAGCGTCCTCGCAGCAATGATTCCTGGGGTTAGGGTAGGAAAACACGTGAGAAAGATGCTATCTGTTCTCCTTATCTATCCAAGCCACATACCACCATCCCTTCCTGCAAGACCCACCAATCAAGGAATCCAAGGGGAACTACCTCAAAGTTGCCCAACAGGGTACGGCTGACAGCAGGGGTAGGAACAGGGGAGGCACTGGGGGGGCTCAGCAGGCCTGGTCCCTTCCGGAGGCTTCTCAGGGAGCTCCTGGTAGAGGAGAGGACACAGGAGCAGGCTGGTTGGCTTGAGGTGTTCTGAGATGTTTGCTATTGTCCTTGGGCCCCACCTCAGGCCCGTTCCCTGAGGTCCCCTTGCCTGGGGTTGGAAAGAGAATTACAGACTTCTGCACCATTCTCAGGGAGAAGCAGGGCACTTACAGCTTCAGGCGACGGGCACCTTTCAGCCTCCGCCCCATGGGACTACAGTCTGTTGGGTCCTGTGGAAAGGAAAGATTAGGTAAGGAGACTGGATGGAAGCCAGGCTCATCACAAGCTCTCACAGGAACACACCCCAAGCCATCACCTTTCCCCACAGGTATCCATGTCAGAGCAGACCACTTCCTCTCCCGGCTTACCAGCACGGGCTCCTTGGGCCCAGGCAGCAGGTGGCTCCAGAAGGGTGTGGCTTTGGCATCAGAACTGTTGGCAGCAGGAGGGTGGCCCAGGGTTCCCCGGCGCCTCCGAGGGACTGGCCCCTCATCCTCAGAGTTGACATCCAGGGCTTCTCCAGCAGGAAGCAGCCTTCGCTTGGTGGGGCAGGGGCCTGGAGGTCCGGGGCCAGGGGGTGTGTGCTCGGGGCTGCACCCATTGGCAGTGCCAGGGGACTCCCTAGGCCAGGGGCTGCCCCCGTTGCCCACCCCAGACACTAGGCTCTTACCCCCTATTTGTGCAAGACTGTGCAAATCAGTGTCAAGTGTGTGCAGCTGGCCTGGAGGGGCTGGCCCCAGGGACACCCCCAGGGACCCCTGTCCCCTTGGATCTGGGGAAGCCCAGTCTCTGGTGTGCAAAGTACTGCAGGAAGCATTTGATGGGGGCAAGGGGGAACTTCGGGCCTCCGAAGTCCAAGGTGAGGTGGAACTACCTCCTTGTTCCACAACACAGAGGCCGTGATGGCAGAAATGTTGGCTGGCCACGCCCAGTTTCAGCCCCAGTCCCTCTGGGCCCAAGAGCCCGACAGTGCGTGGTTCTTCAGGGGGTAGTCCCTCTCTGGCCCCTAGTCCGGGGCCTCTCTTCAGCTCCCTGGGACCCTCGGTAGGTGGGGCTGGCCGTTTCAGGGCCCTAGGAGGCTCAGAGGCACCAGCTGGAGGGGAAAAGATGGATACCTGGTAGACCCCGGGGGATGTCGCCCCCCCTGCTGGGCTGTAGCCCATGAGCAGGCCACCCTGGAGGGCCCCCTGCCTGACTGCAGGCTGCGAAGGGCCAGCCTCTGGCTCTGAGGATGGAGACGTCTCCGCTTGCACGTGGCGCATGAAGCCCTGCCTTCGGTCAGGGGGGACCCCCCCCACAGCCTTTATGCTGGGCTTGGGCTGGGGGGCCTGGGGACATCTGTGCAAGAGAAGAGAAGAAAAGATAGTAAGAGGAATCCGTGAATCGTCTCCCTCCCAGATGAAATTCAGATCCTCCCCTGGACTGGAGAAGTGAGCTTGTGAGGTTCCAGGGGGGTGAAGATAACCAAACGCCCCAGATGGATTGATGGAATACAGAGGAAACCCTCAAAACTGCTGAACAGGTGACCCGTTTGCTCAGGTTTCTAACTGGATCTGCTTCCCCTCCTTTTCTCTGGCACTCACCCCGATGAGGAGGCCTTAAGCCTAGCTGTGTGTTCCCTCTTCCTGGCTGATGTCTTGCTCTCCTAGCTTGCAGTCCGGTCCATGCCTGCTGCACTGGTAAGGTGACTGCCACCATTCCGTGCAGCTCCTAGGCTCAGCTGGACCCTGAGGAGAGAAAAATGGGATAAGCCTGGCATAAGCCAGGATCTCTGGAGCCAGTGGGAAGGCTGCGCTCACAGAGGATACCCCAGGACATCCTCCTCCAGTTTATAGAGGACATACTCCTTCACAGTACCCCTGCAGAGACGAAAGCAGTAGTCTCGGGATCCAGGGCCCAGAGGGCAGAACTGGGTTATACAAGGAGTCACAGAGTGGCAGGTCTTAGCTCACTGGAATAGGATGTGACACGTGAGGTGAGGGAGAAGACTACTTGTCAGAGCTACCAGCTGGGGGACTCCTGCCCTGAATGAGATGGGGGATGAGAAACCCCAAGATCCAAGAGACCATGACAACTGAAAGATGGCCAAGGCAAGAATTTAACTCTCCTGCTCAAGGCCACTGTGTTGCACAACTCCTTCCCATCTATCTATCTCTAAAGGAACAAATGCCACTCCATAATTCTCAGGGCAGAGGTCTTACAAAAACATCCTCCATAATCAGGGCTCCTTGGAAGGACAAACCTCAGGCTAGCTCAAAGTGGGTCTTTCAGAATTAAACTCCCAATTGTCCCCAGCAGTCTGTCCCTTTAACAGGAAGCAACAAATCTAACCAAAAACAAGTCTAGAGGGGGCAGGGTGTGGAGGAAGCACTGCTAGAAGACACTCTCCAGGGCCTGCCCCTCCCCCAGGCTCTGCAAACTAGAGATAAGGCAGTGACAGCCAGACAGCTGGAGTGCCTCGCTACTCCTCTCCAACACATCCAACACCCCAAAACTCAAACCACTGCTTTTCTGCCAGGGTACAAGATGGTCTTCACTAACTCGTCCACCCTCAGGCGCCCATATTGGGTAAAGGGATGTCAAATCGAAGTCTGTCTTCCTTCACGGGAGAAAACACTGCACGCAGGATCAAACTTATGCTTTAGTCAGTAGCCTTTGCTGCTTGCTATCCACAAAACACTTTCCCTTTCAGGGGGAATGTGCCCTTATGCCTATCCAAATCTTACCCTTCCTCCTTGGCTAGGCCAAGTGCCATCCTCACCATAAAACTTCCTCTGGCCATCCTGGACCATAAATAACTGTCTCTTCTGAGACCTCACCTATGGCAGTGTCACTGTCTCCTGTAACCCTGGGACAGTTTTGCTTGCTCTTGCAGGTACGACTGATCATAGGGTTCTTTTTTTTTTTTTTCCATAGGGTTCTTGAAGATAGGTTTTACTTGAATTCTCTGCCTGACTCCAAGCACAAGGGTAGGCACATAGCAGGACTCAGAAAAGTAGAATGCAAGCCCCAGAGATCAGGGCAGCAGACAGTGCCGAGAAGAACTCCCAACATGAGAGAAGCAGGAGATTAATTGTATGCAGAGAATCAAGGACAACAGAAACGGGGGCAGGAGGCAGGGAAAAAGGGAAGCTTTGCATCCAGGGACTGAAAAGCTTTCCTACACCAGTTCCCATCACTGCACACTACACTATCCTGTTTCACCAAGTTCTCATTAGAACTGGAAGCTCAAGAAAATTCTGGTTCCCTGTGGTGGGTGGGGTGTCTGGAAAGGGCAGGATGCCAATGGCAGCATTGTCAAAGGGTACAACCTGTACTCAACTCTTCCCTCCTTGCCTCTACCCACGCTGTACAGATTCAGGAAGGGCCTTTTCCTTAGCACTCCCACCCCTAGGTCATCCCAGTTGACCTTTTCAGCCCTTGCCCTGGGGAAGCATCATGATGACATGATGCCCTACTTGACCCCAGCATGACTGGCATCTGCTTATTACCCCAGAGGCCTCTCAGTTCCTGCCCGGCCAATGAAAAGCTTGAAGACTCACTTCCCTGCCACCCAGCCAGGCTGGCTGTAGTCCATGGCTTCAGGCTGACTCATGGGGCAGGACGTGGGGAGGGGGAGGGGTAGGAGAGGCCAAATCTCACTCTGGGAAGGGGTGGGCACCAGCTGGCATCAAACAGCTGTGCCAGGCTCTGGCTGGCAAGGACTACAGCTCCCAACATGCCAAGGGAGCAAGGCCAGCAAAAACAACAAGTCCCAGAATACCACAGGGTCTGTACATTCAGACACCTGCTAGGCCGGGGAGGTGGGATAGGCGGGTATTGAGCTCCCAGGCTTACCCTCCCTTTCCCTTCAGTATTAAAGATATCCATTTCTACCCTGACCAAGGAAGGTGGCAAGAAGAATTCCTCTCCATGTGCTTTCCACCTTCGCCCAGTTCAGAAAGAACTGCTACCAGCTGCTCTACATTTTGTCCCCACAGGCGTCTACACAAACTAGGGAGGCCATTCCCAAGGACCACTACTGTAGGTAGGTAGGTTACCCTCCGCTACCTCACCAACCCCTTGCCTCTGGCCTAGAGCTCTCCACCCTTCCTGGAGAGGAAGCAAATCTTAGCACCTCCTCCAAAATGAGCCCAGGAGACTCACCGCAGCATTCGGGCTCTAGGACTCCTTGTTCTGACCGATCCCCACCTCCTGTTTAGCCTCCCAGGTCCTGCCTCACCTTTCTTCTCCTCACAACCTGGGACAGGCCCCCTTCCGTACTGGAGCTTCGGAGATTTGCTATTTCCCCACCACAAACTCACCCCGTTCCCAAATTGGCTCCGCCGCGGCGCCGCTGCTCCGGGCCTTTCGGTCCAGTCCCGGTCCCTCCCCTCAAATGCCCGGTCCTCCCCGCCTCGGGCCCCCAACCCAGACAAAGGGTGGCTCAGGCTGAGTCCTGCTCTGCTAGGTTCTTCTCTGTTCGGTTTCGTGTGCAACACTAGCGGGCCCTGGCGCCCGCAGCCCCCAAGCCGCTGCCGCGCCCCTCCCCGCGACTGTCCCTCCCCGTGGCCGCCCCGGCTCCGCGAAGCCGACTCCGCTGCCCCTCTGACTCACAGGCCATTTCCTACCAGCTGATGGGGCAGCCCGCCCCGCCCAGCTCCCCTCACACCCCCGCTGCCGCCTTCGCGGCCGCCACGCCCCCCTGAAGCTACGCCCCCATCGCAGCGACCATGATCATTGGCCTAAAGGAGGCCAGCCTCCACCCGACCTCAAGCGTGAGGCACGCCTCCTTCAAAAGATGCCGGTCCATTGGTCCATAAGGGGGCAGGCCTACCTAGGGTTGCCCCGCCCATCTCCTTAACCCCTCAACTGCCCGAGTCCAAAGCAGCTCTCAGCCCTGCCTTTTAACCCTTTCAAAGACGTAGGCCTCCCACTTCTCACCGCGCCCTTCCTCTTCAGAGAAGGTTAATAGGACGGCCTAGGGCGTTCATAGACAAAGTCTGACAATCCCCAAAGTCAGCTTGCTCTTCCAATACTAGATTCCAAATATCCCCATTCCCATCATCTCTCCGTGCCTTGCAAACCAAAGACCACAGGGCTGTTGAAGCTCAGGAAGCTTCCTTCGTGCTAGGATAAAAGGGTCTTGAAGTGGGATCTCATCTCCTTCCATTGAGAAATGGTATTCTTCCTTCTTTTACTATATATTAATGTTGTTTTGCCTACATTAGAGGGCTTCAAGGGCTCCTGAGATAGGGATACATTTTAATTCAGGAACCTAGACATCATTCTTTATGTCTTTAAACTTTCATTGTGAGATCAGACTGCTTCAGTCTTTCTGCCAGTACTCTTTCTATTCATAAGCCCCTGTTCAAGGAGGCAGAGCACCCAGGGAAAGTGGGATCGGAAGGCTTCTGTCCAGAGTAGGGGGAAATATGCCCAACTCTTGTGACAGAGCTCACCCCCATGACTCACAACTCCCTCGAAACTCCCCACCCTCCTCCTGAGTCACTGGGCCCCAAGCCCAGCTTAGACCCAACCAAATTAAGTGGCAGCAGAACCAGCATTCCTAATTCTTATTCTCTGATTACTGTAGCTCGCCAGGCTCCTCTGTCCATTGGATTCTCCAGGCAAGAATACTGGAGTGGATTGCCATGCTCTCCTCCAGGGTATCTTTCCGACCCAGGGATCAAACCTGCATCTCTTACTGTCTCTCCTGCACCAGCAGGCAGGTTCTTTACCACTAGCGCCACCTGGGAAGCCCTATTCTTTAGATGACCAGGATGGAAACCTTTGCAAGGATTAGACATTAAAAGACAGTTTTTAGAGGGGCTGATCTATGGGCAAGCTAAGAAAAGAAACAGTCCTGTCTACTTTTCCCTCTGCACTTGTGAAGTCAGACAATTTGGAACTTAAGAGGTTGCTAGGGGTCTTCCATAGAAAAAAGAGGCAAACACCAGAGCCAAAAAAAAGGGAAGACCCAAACTGAGGCCCTGGAGAACTGGCATCAGGCAGGGCATGCTCCCTGGCCGTCCCTTTGGATGAGCGGAGTGAATTCTTTTGTAGTTCAGAAGCCACCAGAGCCCCAGGGTCCTTGTTCCTACCTTGCCTGTAGTGCAGGCCCTGAGGGCACTGAAGTTGTCGCTGGACAGCAGAAGGATGCTCTCCTCCCCCGCTTCCTCCCTGTGACCTAGGCTTAGGAAGCACAAACGAGTAACAGTTCCTCTAGCTTCCTTTCTCTTCACCTCATACCAGGGGAAAACCCTGAAAAAGCAGTTGCCATGGGCCGACTTCCTTGCTGGTTCCCTAATGCTGAGGAACAGGATTTAGGGAATTTTCAACACCCTGAACAAAGTTGCAGAGTACCAATCTAAAAGCCTACCTACCTTAGTAAAAGCTTACTGGGAAGACAGGTAGACACACAACACTCTAGGAATGAAATAATCCCTCGGTGACCCCACCTTGTTCTATCTAACTGCCAAGACCACAGGCCCAGACCTTAGTCATCTGCAAAAGTCTAGGGGCAGTAGTTCAGCGGAAGGATCAAAGACGTTCTAGGCCTCAGGTGCTCTGGGAGAGCAAGCAGCATTGTACAATCGAGAGGCTTTGCCTAGCTGCCCGAAATCCTTACTCTGCTTTATTTTTTTCACAGCAGTTATCACCAGCTGGCACTTCTCTTCCTCTTTCCCCCTCCCTCCCCTTTCTCTCCCCCTGCAGCCACACACACATCTCTTTCTCCCTGGGTTAGAATACAAGCTCCAGGAGAGCTGCAACTCTGTTGTATTCATGCTAGTACTCCCAGAATCAGTATCAGTGCCTGGCACATAATAGGTGCTCAATAAATGTTGGCTCAAAGAAACACTGACCCCTGGGCTGAGTGAAGAGCAATCAGAAGATCTGGGTCCTAATGCCTGGTCTTTCACTGTGAGACATGGAGAAAATATCAGTCTCTTCTTTCTTAATTTCCAAATCTGTAAAATGAGTTTGTATAAAAATGACCACTGAAGGTCTCTAGAACTCTGACTTTATGCTGCTATCATCCTAATGGCTATTGTTCACTCTTACCCATTTTCAGAGGATGGGTCCAAGCATCTGGATGCTCTGCTGCTTGTACGGAAGCAGAAAGTCTATATACTCCAGCCTCTGCATAGCAAACCAATGCCCTTTCTCTTCATGCCCCACCCACTCAAACAAATGCCTCAGTCTTGAGGAAGCTGGAGAGAGTCCGCCCTAAGCCCGCCTCTCTGAGAGACAATCTGGGAAGCTGTGTTGCCATAGCAATCAGCTCCTCCTCAAAAGGCTTCAGCCTGCCCTTCTTTACCCCACCCTACCCCACGGCTTTGTCTGGCTTTGGCACCCCCTCCCTCCCCAGCCAGTCTCTCAGCCCGGGGAGACTGGCTTGGGGCCCCTTTCAGCAACACTGTCACTCTCATTCAGCCACCGTGTGGAAAGCAGAGCTTTCTCACCCTCTTGCAGCCTGCCCAGGGGCAAAAAGAACTCTGGCACCACATCAAGTCCCCTCAGGGAATCAGAGACTAGGTCCTAGTCTGGTTCAGATTCCAAGCCAGGAGGGTGGGGAGCCATTCCCTCTCCCTCCCGCAGTGGAGACTGGAACCTCCCTTACCAGTTCAGCCAACAATAGTGGCTCACCTCTCAAAGCATGCACCGCAGACCCTCAGTACTTCTCATCATTTCCCTCTCCCACAGAAGCCCAGAATTTTTGAGGGAATTAGGGTTCCCTACACACTTTAGGAAAAGTGTGCAGAAATCAGTTTGTGACAAGTGGTAAAAATGTGTCTACCACTCACTTGGGGGGCTGCTGGGAGAGCCCTTGGTAGTAGTGAGGGTGAGGTCTGGGCCTTGCAGCTGGTTACCTAGGTCTCTGGCCACTGAGTACAAAGTCTGGGGCAGGGCACAGCTCCAGGACAGGCAAGGACCAGGCCAGGCCCCAGGCGAGGAAGGAAGTGGGGAATGAGCACACCCAGAGCAGAAGGGCAGGGCAAAGCGGGGGAGGAGGGGAAAGACAGGGACTAAGGCAAGCTTCTAGGAGGAACAGGAACCAGTGAGGGGTTACCCGGAACCTAAGGGGGGAAGGGACACCAGCTAAAGGAAAAATATCCCCGTCTCAGCCAGACAGATCCAAAGCCGACTGAGACAGTCACACAAGCTCTAGTAGCAAGTGGGGCCTGCATCCTCTCTGAATGCTCAGGCCTGAAGGTGGAGTTAGGAGCTGAGGAGCCAGGAACACTACAGACTGGCTTCTTCACCCCACTAATCCCATCACTCTTATCCCTGAGACACAGTACAAAAACCTCTTCCTGGAGTCTCTACAAAGCCTCCAGACTTTCTCAAGGCCCTAGGGGTTCTTCCCTCCTCAGCTGGGGCCTGCAGCCCCTTCCCCTCACACAGTACCCACAGCCCCCATACCTTCTTCCTCCACACAGTCCCTCCCACACTCTGGACCACCAGCCCATCTCCATCACACAACGCCCCCTCCACTCTCCCCTAAAGCGCCTTCATATCCCCTCCCCCTCAAGTATCATCTCCAACGCTTCACTTCACCTCACCCCCTCACATTGTACTTCCCAGCCTCACAAAGCACTCCCGCCCTTCCCCCACAAGGGTACCGGAGAATGCACTTCTTAGCCCAAACACTGAGCCCCCTCCTCCTCCCCCAGCTGTTTCACTCCACCCCCACCCCAGCATTTCTCCAGATCTTCCCCTTCCCCGACGTGACCCTCCCTCCTCTTGTCTACCCAAGCGCACCCCCGTACTCGTCCATTCTTCCAGGCGCACCCGCCCCACACCTGTAGTTCCGTGAGTCCCGTTGCAACTCGGGAGGTAGTGGATTGGAGCAGTTACATAGCTGCCCTAGCTGCAGCCTCGGCCCGCAAACCTCGCCCCTTTGGTCCGAGCCCCGCCCCCGCAACGACACGACCCACCCTCTCCGTAGTCCCACCTCCCACCTTCCCCGGGCTCGTCCCCTTTCCCAGTTTCTTTAATTCCTGGCGCTCCTCCCCGGTAATTCAGGTCCTGCCCTTTCTGGCTCCGCCCCTTCTCGTCTTCTTGGCGTCTCCACATTGAACCTCTGCTCGTCTCTCGTCCCACCCCGGTCCCCGCCCCACCCTTGGTCCCCGCCCCCTTCTGGTCTCCGCCTTTCACTAGGATCCGCCCCCTCGGATTCCAGGCTGGCAGAACCGGTGCCAGGCTCGCTTCCACTGCTAGCCCCCACCCATCTCGGAGCCTCTCCTCCCCCCGCCCCTTTTCTGGCTGGCTTCACCCCGGCGCTGGCGCTGCAGCCCGGAACCGCTGGTTTTGATTGGCGGCGGTGGCCCCAGTGGATGGCCGAGGAGACAGTGACGGCTGCAGGTCGCCTGAGGGCCCACCCCGGCCACGTGCGGCTTCTGTGATGACAGGTCTGAAGGGGCGGGGCCTCAGCCCGCAGTGTGCTGGCCTGGGCTGACTGGATCCGGCCGGAGATGGGGAGCCAGAACCTAAGCCAAAGCGCTGGCTTGCAGGCGCCCGAACCTGGTTGGAGCCCTTCCAGGCTTTCGAGCTGGTGTGAGCTGCCTGCGGAACTTGAGCCTCTTAGTGAAGGCGTCTGGGTTAGCGCGCGTATTTGCCCTAGTCGGGGAGATCTGTAAGGTTTGCAAAGTAGTGCAAAAAGCTTCAGAATTCTGTGAAAATGCGGGAATCTGGTTGGCGGGAGTCTCAAATCTGTGAGGGAGTGCAGTTTCTGTTACCTACGGTGTGCAGCAGACAGGCAGTAAGAGTTAAGTCTGTAGCTGTGGAGGTAGGTCAGCGAGAAGTCTGTGAATTTTATGAGCCAAAGTAGAGCCTTTGCTTTGTGTAAGTGTCGACCGAACTGTGTGACTGTTACACACGTTCTGTAATTCAATTAGCGCTTGAGTCTTCCAACTTCCCGGGAGCCCCGCGAGTTAGTTCCCAAGGTATGTCCAGGGGAGGGCGACGCTTACGAGCTACCGGTAGATGGCAGCACAGGTCCCTTGCAGAGCTGAGTCGCTCTGAATCCAGAGCCTAGTGAGCTTCTCGATGGAGCCGGAGGTATGGATGGCTGTGTGATGGACTGGACCTGGTAAAGTTCTCTCAAAGTCTCAGATTCTTTAGATCTCTGTGACTTACATTCTGTGAGTAGTTAACAAGCGGCTTTACTAAACACCAATAGTGCGCTAGGCAAAATGAAAAAAGAAAAAGAAAAAAATTTTCTGCCCTTACAGAACTGCTCAGATTGTCTTTCTAATACTTCTATAATGCTATAGAGGGTAAAATTGGAAGGGTTTTGTGTAGTCAAAAAAGCTCAAATTTGAAGTCATTTGGTTTGGTAAGGACTCTATACTAGCTATATTGGGCAAATTACTTGATTACTAGCTAAATTTGGGTCAATTAATTGATTTTTAAAAATAAACTTTTAAAAAAGGTTTTTATTATAGGGATCATTTTAAAAGTCTTTATTGAATTTGTTAAAATATTGTTTTTGTTTTATGTTTTTGATGTTTTGGTGGGAGGCATTGGAATCTTAGCTCCCCACCAGGAATCCAACCCACACCCCTTGCACTGAAAGGCTAACCACAACCACTGGACCACCAGGAAAATCCCTAAAAATAAACTTTTAATTTTGGAATAATTTTAGATTTACAGAAAATTTGTGAAGATAATACAGAAAGTTTCTGTGGACCCCACACTCAATTCTCCACTTTGTTCTCCACAATTGTTTAATAACATCTTACATTAGTATGGTACATTGCTATAATTAATTAATCAATATTGCTATATTATATATATCAATGCATGTAAATATGTATTTAGTATACATCCTAAAGGAGATCAGTCCTGGGTGTTCATTGGAAGGACTGATGTTGAAGCTGAAACTCCAATATTTTGGCCACCTGATGCGAAGAGCTGACTAATTTGAAAAGACCCTGATGCTGGGAAAGATTGAAGGCAGGAGGAGAAGGGGACGACAGAGGATGAGATGGTTAGATGGCATCACGGACTCAATGGACATGAGTTTGGGTAAACTCCGGGAGTTGGTGATGGACTGGGAGGCCTGGCGTGCTGCAGTCCGTGGGGATGCAAAGAGTCTGACATAACTGAGTGACTGAACTGAACTGATACATTATCATTAAAGTCCATACTTTATTCTGATTTCCTTCATTTCTACCTAATGTCCCATCTAGGATAGCACATTAGGTTTAGTTTTCATGTCTCCTTAAACTCCTCTTGGCGTTGATATTTTCTCAGACTTCCTTGTTCTTGATGATCTGGACAGTTTTATAGAGTACTGATCAGATAGTTCAGATATTTTGTAGAATGTCTTTCAGCTGGAATTTGTTTGATGTTTTTCTGATGAATCTATTGCAAATCCATTTTCCCATTCTGTAGCTTGCCTGTTTATTCTCTTAGTGGAGTCTTTCAACGTGCAGCGGTTCTTTAACCTGTCAAATTTAAATCTTTTTGTTTATATTCAATGGTTTTTATGCCTTATTTAAAAAGTCTTTGTCTACTTGGAAATGAGTATATTATCTTAGATTATTGTTTAGAAACTTTATTATTTTACCTTTTGTTTAATCATCTGGAATAGATTTTGTGTATAGTGTGAAGTAGATGTCAAGATTCATTTCTCCCCCATATGGTTATTCAGTTGAAACAAAAACTTTTACAAAAACTGTTATAGTACAATTTCCAAAAAGTTAAGAGCAAGATTTTTACAAGAAGATAGAATGATCTTATGTCAAAGATAAGTAGGTAAAGCACGTGTAATGAGCACTTGAGGAAATTAGGGATTATGTTAGTCAGAGTTCCAGGTGTGTGTATATGTAGAGATACAAATGGAGAGGTTTTTTTATAAAGAGTTGGTTCACAGGTATTGCGGAGGCTGACAAGTCCCAAGCTGTCAAGCTAGAGACCCAGGATAGCTGATGGTGTAGTTCCAATTCCAGTCCAAAGGCCTGAGAACCAAGAAAGCTGCCAATATAGTTACAGTCTGAAAGCCGGCAGCCTGAAGACCTAGGCGAAACTGATTTTTCGTTTGAGTCCACTGGTAGGAAAAAAGACTAATGTCTCAGCTCAAAGGAAGTTGGTCAGAGAGAAATTCTCTTCTTCAGTCCTTTTGTCTATTCAGGTCTTCCACTGATCAGATGAGGACCCTCCCCCACCCCACCACATTAGGGAGAGCAATCTGCTTTACTCAGTGAAAGTGAAAGTTGCTTAGTCCTGTCCGACTCTTTGGGACCCCGTGGAGTATAGTCCATGGAATTCTCCAGGCCAGAATACCGGAGTGCGTGCGTAGCCTTTTCCCTTCTCCAGGGGACTTCCCAACCCAGGGATCAAACCCAGGTCTCCCACACTGCAGGCGGATTCTTTACCAGCTGAGCCACAGGGGAAGACCCCGTGGACTATACAGTCCGTGGAATTCTCCAGGCCAGTCTGGAGTGGGTAGCCTTTTCCCTTCTCCAGGGGACTTCCCAACCCAGGAATCGAACCCAGGTCTCCCACACTGCAGGCGGATTCTTTACCAGCTGAACCACAGGGAAGCCCTTCCTGAGTCTACTCAGTCTATCTACGCAAATGTCAATTTCATTCAGAACCGTCCTTAGAGACATATCCAGAATTGTGTTTGACCAAACCTTTGGTACTGAGAGAGTCATTTCCTAGGCAGGTTGATAAGAAGTCTAGGGGTCCCCAAGGAGAGAGGTTTGGAATACTCAAGGAGGAAGAAAGGACAAACTTTTTACTTTTTTTCCTCTACATTCATTAGGATTATATAACAATAATGTATCCTGCTTGAGGACAGTCTCTGGATTAAACCTTCTGGTTAATTCTGTTATCTTAAAATGTAAATTATGGGAGTAGGACTGGTGAGGTCTTTACAACCTCCAGACATTCTTTGGATTCATTGGAGAGTATATGACTCCATCGCTAACACTAGCAAGCGGGTACTCTTTCTACCCACTTCTGATGTTTATATCAGAAGCTTTCTCTATCTCCTTTATACTTTAATAAAACTTTATTACACAAAAGCTCTGAGCGATCCAGCCTCGTCTCTAGCTCCAGATTGATTCTTCTCCTCCGGAGGCCAAGAACCCTGGTGTCTTTGCATGATTCAGCAACAACCTTTCAGTACCCTGTGGCCCAGTTAAGTTGACACATAAATTAACTATCCTGGGTATTCACAGAAAATTCGTTGAAAAACGAATGCTAGAATGAGATTTTAGGTTAGATATAAAAGTAGTTAATGTCTACAGGATAGTAACACCATAACGTTTTCTAACAATCAGCAATCCTTTGCATCATTACCAGACAAAAACCTATTCGTTAACATATGACTTCACAGAGTTAGCCTTTATTTTTGTCTGTTTATTTATTTGGGGGGGGGGGGTGATTTCTTTTTTTAAAATTTATTATAGGAGCTTTACAATGTTGTGCTTCTGCCATACAACAAAGTGAATCAGCTGTGTATCTACACGATCTCCTTCCTTTTGAGCCTCCCTCCCACCCCGCCTCCCCTCCTTGCCCTCTAGGTCATGACAGGGCACCGAACCGAGCTCCCTGGGCCATAGAACAGCTTCCCACGAGCTACCTATTTTATACATGGTAGTGCACAGAGGTAGCCTTTAATTAATAATAGATAATGAGTAAAGCAAAAGTTTGTTTTCTGGGTAAGCTTTGGCTGCCCCTGCTGTCTTTTCTTTGCAGCATTTCCAAGTTTTGGATGATTTTTATTAACAAAACAATCCTTTCCCCCTTTTCTATGCAATGTCTGTTTTTCATAAAACACCTGTTCATAATATATATGTTCCTGTCCCTCCTTGCACCATTGTTTCACTGTCTTAATACTGTGCTGATATGTGGTGGTGCATATCCTCCAACTTTAAGAGCATAAGATTATATTGACTATTCTCAGCCTATTCCATTTCTATATAAATTTTAGGATCAGCTGGCCAGTTTTCATAGACACATATACACATGCCTGTCTTCTAGGATTTTCATTAGGATTGCATTAAATGTACAGATAAAATGTTTTTTGTAATTCTTCGTTGTCCCAAATAATGTCAACATTCCCTTATTTAGAAAGATTGTGAAATTTCACAAGAATCTTTTCACTTTAGGACCAACAGAAACATAATAATTTGGTGACTCTAAGCACACTGATCTTTTAAAATAGAACAAGGAGATTTGATTTTGCCAAGTAGACTTTCTGGGTCAAGAAGTAGAATATATATTTTAAGGCATTCCAGTGGTTTCAAATTTTCACATACTGAGTTTGAGTAACAGAGTGATATTCAAGTAGAGAAACCTCGTGGGTTATTAGACATATAGGTCTGAAGCTGAGGAGAGGAGTCTGAACTAAAGATAAAGATTTGGAACCTACTGACATATATAGATAGCTGTGGGCAAGGTTTAGAGTTTGAAGAGGAGGAAAAACAAAGGCCACACAAAGAGACTTGAGGTTTTACTTCACATCTATATTACATAGTTTGAAGAAGAAAATGAGTCAGAAATAGTCAATTAAGGAGGACGGGGGCTCTAGATCTTATGTATGCGTGTCTTTTTGACATGCCAGCATGTCTTGGTTTGTGCAACTCATGGTGCTTATGACCACTGGGCAGGTCTTTGTCAGTCCTGAGTTCCTTCTCCCCACCACCTGCCCCTACCA